TATATGCGGTTATTATGCTCCCGTGGCGGTATGGCTTTTAGGCTCTGCATGGTTTGTAGCAGTCGACTAGCGAATCGACTTGGGTCACTTGGTGCCGATGTGTCCGTGTCAACCAATTGGCCTGGCAACGTAAGTGTTGTGCCGTAAACCAGTTCAGCAGAAGTACATCCGATATCCTCCTTGATAGTTGAGCGAATTCCCAGGAGTACGAGCGGTAATGCATCGCTCCATTTCGTCGTGTCAGCTTGTGCCATCAGTGAGCTTTTTAATTGGCGGTGAAACCTTTCGACCAAACCATTAGCTACTGGATGATAAGCTGTGGTTTTTATGTTATTTACTCCCAGTAGTTTAGCGAATTCCTGGAATAGAACGGATTGGAACTGGGGACCACGGTCTGTAGTAATAATTGAGGGAACTCCGTAATTAGATATCCACCGATCAAGAAAAACTGCTGCTACCGTTTCTGCCGAGGTATCTGCAATGGGACATGCTATCGACCATCGGGTAAATCTGTCAACCGCGGTGAGGATATGAGTAAAGGAGTTTGATGGTGGTAATGGACCAACGATGTCTAAATGAACATGTTGAAAACGTTTGTCAGGAAGCGGAAATTTACCAACAACACTTAATGTGTGTCTTTGTACCTTACTACGTTGGCACTGTAAGCAGTTTCTGGTCCAACGTTTTACATCCAAATTAATTTTAGGCCAAACGAAACGTTGCGTTATCATTTTAGTGGTGGCTCTTATTCCTGGATGCGAAAGTTCGTGTAACTGTCGGAATACTTGTCGTCGACAGGCTTCAGGTACAAAGGGGCGCTGATTTCCAGTTGATACGTCGCAGATTATCGATGCGTTGGAGAAAGGGATAGGTACCGGTCTAAGGATCAAGTTAGACTTTACTTTGCAGGCTTCTAGTTCTGCATCGTCTATTTGGAGTTTTGCAAGCGTTTCGAGGTTAATATCTGGTTTGCATATCAGAGTGTTGATATCCTTGCGTGATAATGCATCGGCGACGACGTTGCTTTGTCCTTTAATATACTGGATGTCTGTGGTAAATTGAGAAATATAGTCAAGTTGCCTGGCTTCCCGAGGTGAATGGCGATCATATGATACATTAAAGGAGTAAATTAAAGGCTTGTGATCAGTCATTATAGTAAACGGACGTCCTTGTAATAAAAAACTGAAGTGTTTTACTGCAAGATAGATAGCAAGTAGCTCACGTCCAAAAGTGCTGTAACGTTCTTGTGCCTGTGATAATCGTTTAGAGAAGAACGCTGTGGGCGTGATGGCGTCGTTTACCCGTTGTTGTAGCACTGCCCCAACAGCTTTCTGCGATGCATCTGTGCATAGAATTAGATTTGTCGTGGGGTCAGTGTTGAGGTGCTGTAACATAGTGGCGTTGGATATAAGAGATTTAGCTTTCTCGAATGCAGTTTTAGCATCGGTCGATAAGTTGAATATGTCGTTTTTAGTTTTTCTCGTCACTTGGTTGTCGGCTTTTAACAAGTCAGTCAGAGGTTGTAAGGTTTCAGCGCAATGTGGTAGGAATCGTCGGTAGAAATTACACATTCCAAGGAAACGGCGTAATGCCTTTAGTGAGGTAGGTTCAGGGTAGTTGATGATGGCGTCTACTTTCTCCTGTAGTGGTCTTATGCCTCGTGAGTCTATGTAATGTCCCAGAAACTCCAAGGCAGGAGCGCCAAAGATGCACTTGGAAGGATTAATGACGACTCCATACTGTTGGAAGCGATCGAAGAGGGTTTGTAGGTGCTGAACGTGTTCTTCGATCGACGCGCTAGCTATAAGAACATCATCGATGTAGACAAAAACAAAGTCGAGGCCTCTGGTTACCTCATCCATAAACCGTTGGAACGTTTGGGCTGCGTTTTTTAACCCAAATGGCATTCTCAAAAATTCAAACAAGCCAAAAGGTGTGATAATGGCTGTTTTTTCAATATCTTCAGGTGCCACCGGAATTTGGTGATATGTCCTGACTAGGTCAAGTTTTGAAAAAAAATGTTTTCTATATAAGTTAAGAGAAAAATCATGAAGATGAGGAATAGGGTATCTGTCAGGTGTCGTTTGGTTATTTAAACGTCGATAATCGCCACATGGGCGCCAGTCCTCATCTTTCTTTGGTACCATGTGTAGTGGCGAAGCCCATGGGCTGTTTGATTGACGGTTGATACCCAGTTGCATCATGTGTTCAAACTCTCTTTTGGCAATCTGAAGCTTATGTGGGGGCAGTCGCCTTGGTTTGGCGCAGACGGGAGGACCAGTAGTAGTAATGTGATGAAGTACGTGATGTAAACTGCCTTCCTTTCGATAGTCAACCTTGGTGATGCTATCATATTTAGTTAAGAGGTCGGCGAAAGGTTGATTATTAGGCTTAATTAAACGTACTCCATGAATTTCGTAAATGTTAGCAGTAATGCCGTTTACGTGTAAACGTGTCTGATTGTCGATTAGTCGTTTGGCGCGCACGTCTACTAGCAGATTATAGGCAGTAAGGAAATCTGCTCCCAGGATTGGCTGTTTTACCTGTGCTACTACAAAGACCCACGTGAAACGTTGTCTGAGACCGAGGTCGATTATTAGTGACTGTTCCCCGTAAGTCTGAATGATTGTTTCATTCGCTGCTTGGAGTATATTCTTGCTGGGGGTGATATGTTGCCGTCGGGAGAGGTATAGAGGGATAATGCTTATTTCGGCTCCTGTATCGACTAAGAAGTCTGAGCCCGAAATTCTGTCCCTGATGTGAAACAGACGGCTAGTAGCATGGCCAGAAGCAGTCGCCGCCATTACTGTCTGGCAGGCCAGTTTCCCTGTAATTCGTGACTACTTGTAGGGAAAGTGCATGGCTTGGTACAACGTCGTGCTTTCTCACCATACTTCTGATGGTACCAACAAACGCCAGTTGGTCTTTTTGGAGATCTAGAGCGATGTCACGATCCTGACCTTTTTCTAGGAATTATCGAAGTTGGTTTCGTGGTTATCATAGCTATCGAAGCACGTAGTGATTCAATCTGATTTGTGAGTTGTGCTATTTGCTGTTGTTGGAGGCTAATGACATTACACATATTATCTATACCAGTAGTTTGTACAGAATTAACAACTTGGTTATCTGGGTAGATTTCAGTTATTTTATCAGCCATGTCGGCTAACTCAGTCAGGTTGGCTGAATTAATAGTTACCATAAGAATCTGTCTGACATTGTGAGGTAGCCGTTGAAGCCAAAGTTGTTTGAGTATATTCTCGTCTAATTTATAAGGACCAGACAACTCTTTCATGTATCGTAGTAATTGGGATGGCTTTTTATCTCCCAACTCACAGGAGGTTAATAACTGTTGTAGCCTTGTTTCGTCTGATGCAGAAGTTCTCTGTATCAATGCGGCTTTAAGTTTATCATATGGGTCGTTTTCAGGCACTTGAGCAATAAGATCTCCCACTTGTGCAGCTATGTCTAATGGGAGTGAGCTTACAACATATGCGTATTTCGTAGTTTGTGCGCGTATGTTTTTGGCTGTAAATAAAGCATCAATCTGACAAAACCACATTCTAGGGTTGCTAATGCCAAACTAGAGGAAGAGCTGAGAACAAAGTTAGTTAGATATTCATGTTTGGTTCCCTTATCCTTCACGAGGAGTAAAAGAACCTCTACTCTATCTTTACCGTTTCATTTTACATAACCTCAAATCATATCAGATCGTTAAACTGGAAGACGTAGAGTCCGATATCAGTATAAAAGTACATTTGCTCAAAGATCTCCTACTAATTACCATTTCGTTGGTTGTCTCTGTACAAGCAAATAAAGTGAGATAAACTGAAAGTGTCAACAGTCTGATAATATTCTGCTTAGTAGTCTCGCGATCTAGATTTTTGATAATTAACTGTTGGACCTTTGAAAAAATATGCATTTTGGAAAGTCGTTGCCTTCATTGTTACAGTAAATCACAAGTTTCATATCAGTCGCTGAATAAAATAAACATCATGTACCGTCATGGTTTTCGTTGCAAATTATTGATCTCACCTAATATCCTCTCCTAGCAGGACTAACCAGTATCCTACCATCGAGTGTGTGGTGGACCACCCAAATATATTATTTCAAAATATTAACAAGGTTATCAGATATCAATGAGTTCACATTGAAATATATCAGTTAAATGCGATAAATACAATAAAAATATAAGAACGTTACTTAATGCAGCTACTTGTGCGTGTTCGATTTGATCTGGTGGTCTTTTACCACAATTTTGGTTCGTTTAATATTCCATTAATCATGATAATCCGAAGGTCAGTATGTGTATGTGGCTGCAGTCTATAAAGTAGATAACATACGTATTAATTATTATGAATAATATCCACTAAGCAGATGAGAATAACAAGGGTATGTATAAAGTGTATTTGATACTGTATAGCGGCGAGAGCCGTGCTAGTGTACAATGAACGGAAAGTGAAAACAGCGTGTGTGTATATAGAGCGCCTGTAATAATAATGAAGGTCACACACATAAACAAAAAGTACAACAATCTCATAGTGAATGTACAAGCTGTGAAATTTAACAAAATAAATACAGATAGTGTCAAAAACTGTTTACAAAATAAGTTTGTCATGCCATCTCCACAAGTGACATAGAGGCTTGACAAATACTTACTTATCGATAGATTACCACGTATCGCTTGAACTATCCTCAACTTATCATTCACGATTATCGTCGTATTTTACTGACCCACCCCCATTTTATCACTTTTAATTTCCATTCACCCGTTAGTTTTGCAATTTTATCTATTTATTTTGCCTGCGGAAATAGTCAATTTTGTTGAACAATCTTCTAGTCTATGTACTATGTGCCACTTTTCCCACCAATTTTCACATTGCAATCAACTGAATACTTGAGTCATGGTTTATGCTTTGGTTTATACTAACTGTTACTGCTTCAAGAAACGTAACTATATAACAGTTTTTTTAAATAGGTATTTAGATTGACCTTTTGGGTCAGAATAAAGCGCGCAAAGCGAACACACAACCTTCTCAATGATTTTCCGTGGTTTTAGATTGACGTACTTCTATGTAAGAACCATCTTGAGTAGTATCTCCAAAAACGTATTATAAATTCGTGGTACAAAGTGGCATTTGTTTTCTTACGACCTAAAATATTTTTGTGTTCAATATTCAACGTATTCAGTATTATTGTGTTGAATTACTAAGGATCGGTTTACCTTTGCTATGCTTCAAACCGACATTTGGTGTTTGCTTTTAGTTTTATTAAGTTTGCTTATTCATATGCCATAGTTGATAAACATGGCTTGTGTCAGTTGAACATTTGTTCAAACATCTGTAGTTCAAAATGTTAGTCCAAGTCCATATCGTCTGGCATCAAAATGATTGTGTAGTCATCTGTACAACACGTTAAGGATCACTAGTATAATGATACCTTGGTGCTTCACGGAATGGAAAAGTGGGATTAGGCTTTTGCGAAATTATTGTTCATGCGGTTCTGCATGTTTCATTTACTTTCATACTGGGTTTATAGCATTTTGAACGTGATTTCTCTTATATATGATTTCCAGTATCTATATTGTCACAAGATAGTTAACAGTGTTGAGTATTTGTGAAGAAATAGAAATTGTCATATCTGTCCAAAGTGACTGTAGAGTTTAGGAGTAAACTTGCACATAAAGACAAGAAAAGACCGTAATCTCAAGTGTCTAAATTGCGGCGAATGTGAACTAGGCAATTAAATGGTTACATGGTAGATACTGACTAACAAAATTATCACTCATCTTCGGCTTTTTATTTATTAGTAGGATCATAAATCCAATTAACCAAATGGTGGAAAGCGGGATCTCTATACAGTGTTCAATTTAAACGATATAATAGTTTTAACTACCCTACTTGATAAGCTTTGGTCTAATCTGTATATAAGTTTCGGTCTCAGTCATCTTAACCCAGAAAGTCTATTAGATATAGAGAAACCCATAATATCATTTACAGTTTCATAAAAAGTACTGGTCTGCGTTTATATGGTGTTTGACCTCCACTACAGATATAATAGGTAGCAACAAACTAAAATATACACTATAGTGGCATGCCAGGTATAATAATTAGTTATCTGCAAAGATGGCAAATAGCAATTTTTATTTGATAATTACTCTACCAAATTTGTATAAATAACATTCTTAAGTAAAGTGGTGAAATTAGTTGTCTGAAATATTTAGGAAAGAGCCAACATCTATAAATTTTTTAAAACTTCTTGTATGTCCGAATAATTGTCCAGGATTTAAATGAGCTATTTATTCAATGCCTAACTAATGTTTGATTTTTTCAGGGTAAAAACTGTGAAAACATTGCGTCATGGATAAAGGAAAAAAGTGCCGTAAATTTATGTAGAACTACGAGAAGTTTACACATTTTGAATGCTGCGGCTTCAAAATATAAAAACATTGAGTGTGGAACGACGGGAAAAAATAAAATACAGTTAGTTAATCTTCAATAATTGTGTCATGTTCACCATAAAGCGTAAATCATATTTTTATAATTTTTAGCTGTAGAAATAGCATCAAAGTATCCGAGCTGTTAAAGGTATCAGTATAGTTATATGGAAAGATAGAAACAGAACCTCGACTCTTAGATAATTTACTCATTGTGAATGTATAAACTGATGATCGACCGATTAGTCTATTTTAACTTTGTTTGAAAAAATTTCCGTATCAACTCTGGAATTCTTATTTTGACTATCTAGGATTTAGCGTTGCACTAACGTGTGCTAATCAGCACTGTACTATATCATAATGAAAATAAGGTTGTAAACATCCTCAAAAGGCCCACAAAATGGCAGAAACTTTGAGCGAATGCTATTTTGTCTCTAAAAATGTATAAACTTAGAGACGTCTAATCTACATCAGACTAAGCTTACCATCTTTTTTTTTGATTTTACTTAAAAAGGAAATCAAGAAATGCTAAAAGTTGGTCAAATGAGGGAAAAGAACACGAGTAATGAAGGCGTAAATAAATGCTTAGTTAGAGAATCTGGTGAGATGTGACAGCATATAATCAACTGCGATTCACTTTGAATCACCTACCAACTTATAAAACTAAATCAAGTAAAGCTGAAACTGACAGTTCCCCAGACATAATAGTTTGGACTCAATTTTTTTACACGATGCGTGTTATTTATCAATCAAGATTAAACTAGTAATAACCAAACAATTTTTGTAATATCACACGCCAGAAGTTCGTAATTCACTTTGATAGAGTATAGTAAAATAAAACGCATGTTAGCTAAACTCGTCAGTTGATAAAAACCCGAACATTAAATCGGTGCCATACATTATATAGGACTACGAATAGAAAACATATATTATTTGGCTATCCGATGTAATGGAATTCGGTTACTGTGTTACTAAAATCATTCAGTTCGAAGTTAACAGTTTTTAGTAAAACAACGACACAAAGTATTATTCAATAAGCTATGTTATTCATGTTTTCCTAAATAGATTCCTTATATTCATTTTATTTGTATATCATATAGCAATTCACTAACCAGTGTTTTACGTTTAACGTTTACAACTGTAGTCAGGTTGTTGGAACTATTATATCTCTTTTTCATGTGCCACAAATCAGTAGTAGTTTGTATCCGTCTAGGACTGAAATTCTTAATAATATACGTATACTTAATTATTTGTCTATGACTAATAAACATTATAATGGTTGTAGCTATCCTAATACACACTTGTGTTAATTACATCACTGTAGTTTATGTAATAGAATGTACTTGGTTATACCTTATAATACCATTAGTTTCAAAAGTTTACATGAGTAAATCATGAAAATTGATAACTGTTAATTTTTCTTATGCTAAAATATAAATATTAAATGCTATAGAGTACTGGATTTCTTTCTGTTAACATGTGTACAAAAATACACTAGTTCACTAACCTCATGCTAAGAAAAATATATAATTTAAATGGTTTGAACCCATAGTGTCTATCGTGGAAGACTATTAATCCAGTGTTTTTATCAATTAAGTAGGATAAACTATAACATAAAAATACTCATTATCCAATTTTCCCTAAGAATATTTTATCGAGATGACAAAACTGTTGTATATGATGTTACAATATTGTGTTTAAAGTTAATCACCATATCAGCATGACACTATTCGTTAAAATAGAACTTTTTCATGCATTCTTGATGGAAAGCTGGTAGAAATCTTTAGAGCGTTTTCACTAACAAAATACCAAACATCAATATTTCAGAGAAGAATAGTAATAGTTAAGTTTACATTATTTGTATACTTTTCTTAATAAACCTTGATTATTGCACAGAATACAAACAGTATAATGTACAACTTTCAATGTATTTATTACATGTCAAGAATAAGCAAAGTGATTTCAATGCTGCAGATTTAAATACTCATGTATACAGTGACCTTAATCACCAAAACACAGCATGTTTTTTTCAACAGTCCTTACATCAGGCTAATACTACATAAAAAGCCTTTATGAATCCAACTTTATAAAATGCAGGAATAGATATAGTGTTTGATTCTATATAAAACCGAATATATAAAGTTCTGATCTGTTTAGGCCAGAAAAACAAACAATAGACTCTTTATGATAACATTATTTTCTTCTCTTCTTACTCTTCGAATTACAGTTATTCATTTCTCATCATCGTCTGGTGAATCTATACAAAGATTTTGCCATATACAAATAATTAGTTCTCAACAAATTGTAATAACCAGGGGTATATTTGTACGGTATTTTCATAAATAATTATTATCGACTTTTCATTCCATTAAACATTACTTACGCCTGTTACTCCTCGTAGAGGAGAATAGGCAACCTACCAGCACTCTCCATCCAACTCTGTCCTGGGCAATCATTTTCAGCTCTTCCCAGTTGTTATTCATCCTTTTTCATATCTGCTTCTATTTCCCAACGTAATGTGTTTTTTGACCCTCCTATTTCCCTCTTCCCTTCAGGTATCCCATTAAACATAAGAATTTAAAATTCCCTATTATTATCACTATTACTACCAATTATAATTGCCAAGTTGAATTAGGAATCAATCAATGTGTATATTTGCTTACATTACATTTTCTTATTATTAAAGTATGTAAACAGTTTATTCAATTGAGTATTTAAATCATTTTTTCTTTGTAGAAATTGTTATCAAAAAGGCGTTTATGATTATGTATTCGATTTAGTTAAAAAGGATGAAAGTGACATAATTGATATTTATGATTTAATTGAAGTAAGTTATATCATTATTAATGCATATTGTTATTGTTTAATGTATTAATATAATTTTTCATTTGTCACTTGATGTTGTTCACTTGTATCTTCCGATTGTTGTTAAGGGCTGCAATTGACCAGTCTCTTGTTGGCATATGTGCATCCTGTGAGGAATGCCTCGTTATCGCTTGAAGTTATGAGCTTTATAATCGAAGATGGATGGTGGCTAGCAGTGGAATCCAGGACTTGTGTTTCATCCTATTTTGGACTCGTCAGCTGGATGTAGATATATCTCATAATTGATGATCACTCTGGGACTCATATGCACATATGCCAACAAGAGACCGATTAATTGCAGTCCTAAATAACAGTGGGAATATACAAGTAAACAACACCAACTCAATATAACTTCACCCCATTGCACAAGTAGGTGGCTATCAGGACTCAGTAGTTAAGTGGATACCGCGATGGTGTTTGAAGCGGATGGTACTGGGTTCAAGTCCCAAAGTGAACATCAACTTTGAGATGCAGATACATCCAGCTGACGAGTCTCAGATGGGACGAAACGCGCGTCCTAGATTCCATTGCTAGTCACTATTCATCTTTGCTCATAGTTTTCCGTTGCTCAAATGTCTATTAATGAAATTACGTAAAACTAATCTCATTATTGTATAACTGTGAATTGACAGTTTAACTATTCTATTAATTATCTGAAGATAATTGATAAATTTGAATCAGATTAAAGTTTAGCAATCAGCTATAAATCAAGTAAGCTATGATACAAATCAGAACAGACTAAATTTATTACACATAACAGTAATATAGTATAGCTTAGTAATGAAAAATATTGAATAATATACAAACAAGAGATAAGTCATAGATACATTTGAGGGGAGGGATGTAGGTTTGGTTGTACTGCTATTGATTTTAAACGATGTCATCTAATGTATCCTATTAAAGATTAAGATTAGTTCATGGTCCTTAATACAAAAGTATGCATTTCCAGGAAATGGACAATCTAAAAAATAAGAATTCACATTTTGACAACATAGTGTATACAATGTTAAGCTACTTAAATTAATGACCAGTTGGTAACTTGATAGAATAAAATTGTTCAGTTTTAAGGACTAGATAGACATAACAATAATCACTAATCAATGTAAACTGTTTGATTAAGATATATGGTATAGAGGACTTTTTAATAATGAAGTTGATTCATATCAGATGATGAATTTAAAAGTAACATCACCATTATCGACATTATTTAAAAAGAAGAAATCGCTTTTTAAAATAGTTGACAACAATGTTTGTTTTAAATAGTCAATTCATTCAGATCATTTTTGATAGACAGTCAGTCATATGCAAAGTATAACTTATTACAAATGCATATAGGTTTAATTTACATCAGGTCATTGAATTAGTGAGGTAAATTCATCATGACACATCTCAGAATAGTTGAATTAATAACAGAATCAGTAGTACTTGAAAAGATTAGATAAAGAAACAAGATAAAAATATATAAAAAGATTTTGAAATTTAGGATCTAATAGAAGATAAAGAGTGAATACATCTACAGTATTGTGAACGATTCTGAATTATTACACTTAAAGTATGTAACTACTGGCAACAATAATGGTGTATATCTTGACCTGTAGAATAAATTCCTAATTGGAGAAGACTTGTAACTCAGATGAATGATTTTGATGAAGTTTTATTCCCTGAGCTGGATGGTTTAGGTTGTGGAGTTTTCATTGTTTTTCTGAACGACATCATCAATACAAACTTGAGGTAGAAGTGAAATGTTTGAATTTCTCAACAATAACTAATCAAATTGTGAACCATATGTGGAGAAATTTGAACACTTCACTTATATCTAAAGTTTGTGTTGATGATATTGTTTATAAGAACAATGAAAACTCTACGACCTAAACCATTCAACTCAAAGAACAAAACTTCATCAAAATCATCCATCTAAACAACAAAATCTTCTCTATTTAAGTATTTATTCTACCGGTTAAAATATACACCAGTATTGTTGCCAATAGTTACATACTTTAAATGAAATAATTCAAAATCATTCATAATACTATAGATTCATTTATAAAATAGATAACATTCCATTAAATCTTATTATAATTCAAACTAATTTGTAATAACCTTTTAAGATTAGCAATTGTATTAGCTTAGATAAATTAATATGATGTGTTTACAAATTAATTTAATGAACTTTTACAGGAAAGAAAAATAAGTAAACAGAAACATTGAAACGATGTATTTTTTTAGTAAACAAACTGACAAGCTTATCATTTATAAATCAATAAATGAAATTTACTCGTCTATTTAGTTACTATTAGGGTTTTGTTAATTTACTTTGTATCAGCTTGTGATAAACATTGTAATTATTATTCCTGATCAGAATTTTCAACATGGAAACATGATGTTAATATTAGGTAGTGTGATGTGTACTACTGATATTAGCAGATACAAGTACAATGTGTTACCAATCGAAAATGAAATGTTTAAAGGTATAATGATTCAGAAGATTGAAGAGAAGAGAATGAGAATAGAGAATGATTATTTTGGAAACGAAGGAACTGTTAAGTCTGAGATGATTGGTTTGACATTTTGTAAATGTAGTATTTACTGTATGGTTCTTAGAGTTTACTAAAAAAATTTCTGTGATTTTGTATTCAAATATATTCGATTGTCCCTCCCCCACCTGTGTTCCCGTTCACTACAACAGTAACTCATAACCATATTTCGATAATTGTTATTATTTACTTTGTCTATGACATAGTTTTCCAGTTTAATGTTATTCCATGATAAAATAGTAATTTGAAAATTGCGGTCAAAGCCTTTCTAAAATCATTCTTCAAAATAATTAACAACTAGTACTTGATGTTTAATTTTCATAGTTCTGGAATGATTAGATCCCTAGTGAGAAATCATAATTGGTGAAGTTTAACCATGGTTGAACAATAGAATAGTTATTACTGATAACATGGATAAATACTTTATCATAATTCAAATAACAGAAAATTTAAATTATGGACTATTGAATTTTCATCCAGTTGTAATATGATATCTGCATTACTGTGAAATTTTTGAAGTATGATCTTGATTGTGGTCATAGGTTGGTGTTATTGTGTTAAATCTAGATTAGGATAAAGCATCTAAGAAGAAAAAATATGGTTTTCATAATTATTAGAATATATATATATATATATATATATATATATACATAGCTCCCGAATGTTTTTGTACTACTGAGAGTAGGGAGAGTCAACTCTTCCTCTCCAAATGTTCTCAAGTGGCCAGGTGCATACAACCACCCTCAGGGAAGTCCTACTCACTGCCTTCTCACGGCATTACTGTTGTTTACGAAATTGAGATGACGAGAAGCGAATGTTCGGTGCTTTAACTGGGTTGGTGGATATGGAGGATCCATCTAGAGGAGTTGGGAAACCTTGATTCCAAACCAATGGTACACATGGGCTCCAGGATCCTGAGGAAACAAACGGCGTATGAATCAATTGTTGGTCACCGGCTAATATGGGACTGAATCTCATTACGATGCTCTACTGCCTTGTGGATTGGACCTTTAGGTCAGAGCCTCGCGGTATGGCCTCCTAATAAAACAACTGCTTCGGTTTGGGCACCCGGGCAGTATCACACCTCTCACACAAATCCACTGATTTATGTGGCGCATATGTATTTTGTACCTCCTTGCACCAATGTTTATGTGCTTATATAAATAAATAAATAAAACATTTATATATTCATATATGAAAATGAAGAAAACATCACTTAATAATGACAATATATAAAGTATTTATAAATTAAGGATAAATGCTATAAAGTATTCATTTTTTCTATTGACAATTGAGATTTACTGGTAAGATATCAGTAGTGATTTCATTTTTAATGTAAATAAAACATTTAAATACTTCATATACTTATAACTTAATTACTTACGCCTGTTACTCCTCGTGGAGGAGAATAGGCCACCCACCATCAATTTTCATCCAACTCTGTCCCGGGCAATCATTTCCAGCTCTTCCCAGTTGTTATTCATCCTTTTTCATATCTGCTTCTATTTCCCAACGTAATGTGTTCTTTGACCTTTCTATTTTCCGCTTTGCTTCAGAATTCAAAGTTAAGGCTTGCCTCATGATAAATATTGAATATATAATTGAATATACTTGAACGGTTTAGAAGTAATATGTGATGTAAGAAATAAAGGTACTGTTGTGAACGACAACAGAAGTAGGGACAACTAATTGCATGTGAATATAAAATTACAGAGTTATTTAGTAAATTGTGAGTACCACACGTTCATTAATTGTCTCAGACTTTGTTGTTTCTTCATTTCCATATCAATCACTTTATGTTCCAGCTCTCTTCTATTCGATCTTCTTAACCTTCTTCTGGTAGGTATTCTACTTTCGATTGATGTTACACATTACTTATATCTGTCAACATGATTAGCACACACTTCAATACTTGATTCTTAATCCAGTGAATATTTGGATATGCATTACTGAGAAGTGTAGAACTAGAAAAATCTTCAGAATATGTATTATTAGCAAAGCTGTTTAATATTAAATAGTTCTGCAATAGTTCCAAAGATGATGGTAATTATTAATTCAAACTAATTTCATATAGAATAGTTTATACTAATCCTTTTACTTTAGTGATGCAATATATTTATTTCAGCCGTGATAAAATAAACAACGAATTCATATTTTAGCCTTAAGATTAACCTTAATACAACAGTCAGATATTTAACACTGACTGATAAACTACTATTACTGTAATGAACAAGAACATAGGTAAGGACAAGCGAATGTATTTTAATACAAAATTACAGGGTTCTTTAGTAAAATGTGGAAACCATACGTTCAATAATACATTTGTAGATCTTCCATCAATTGTCTCAAACTTCATCTTCCCTTCACTAAAAGAATAATTACTGTCTGTTCCCGTTCTCTTTGATCCGATCTTCTCATCCTTCTGCTATCAGGCATCCCACTTTTGACTAGTGTTATATACTACTTATATCGACATAAGTAGCTTACACTATAATACTACTGTGAATATAAATGAATTCTTTAATATATTATTTAAAGAAATATATTTATAAAACTTTAAATTAACATTTTAGCATTGAATTATTTTCTTCATTTTAAAGTTAATGAATAAAGCTGGTATATCATTGAATGATCCAAGATTAGCAAAATTTACAAAAGCATTAAATGAATTACAAGGTAATAAAATCAATCGAAATGTTCTACAAAGTAAATCATTAACGTTGGATAGAGAAACATTTCGAATGTAAGTTTTTTTATGATTGATTAACTTTGGTTATATTTTTTTTTATAACTTGTGACTGTCGATTAGAGAGCAGTGAATTGTTGATCGAATCAATGACGCGTAAAACCCGTACGAGCAGCCTAGAGTCTTAATTGATCTCGCTTCCTGCCTAGCCCAACCAGTAAAGTCCAGAACACTTATCCGAGCCTCTGCCACATGAATCATGTATTTCAAAAATACTCGGTTTATATACCAAACAAGCAGACTACAACGTACCATAAAATGAAAAATGACATTTGTACAAAACTTAGACAAAAGTGGCTGTGAATGAAGGAGGTAATGATTAATAGACAGGGAATAATTCAAGAATGGAAAATCATATAATGACAGTTCATAGGTTAAAATAAAGCTTATGATAAGAGAGACATGAATATGAATAGTTTAGTTAATTAACAATTATACGATAAAAATATACGTTTAGTATTGGTCCATAAATGGATCCCAAAAATTACCACTCATTATTCTTATCGGGGTATAACAATTTTGTATCAGAAAAATTTTTAAAGCAATTAGTTTCTTTGATAAATTTCAATAATGTAATAAGAAGACGAAGATTATCAGACAGGAATTATGCTAATACAGTTAGTTTATTTCTCGAAGAATTCCAAATCGTCTAAATGTTTATGTATTCAGTGTATCTAGCCTTGATAATATATCGATTAGGAATTAAGAGAGTGATAAACTGAATAAATCTAAACAAGTGTATAGTGTAATTCATAGTTCATTATCCTCAAGATATAATATTAATTGTAATAGGAAAGTGGAGGACATTGTGCTAAGTTATTCTCATTAATATATACATAATCTTTACTAGAACTCATGCTTTGGATGGAGATCAAACGCGCGGGTCATATTTTCACAACAGGAAACATTGTAAATTAGTATATTTATGAGTTGAAAGACTTTATGTAGTACTGAAATATGTAGATTAATTAATCACTGTGTAGTAATCAATGTCATGTCATTTACTTCTTAGTTCTATTCCAAGGGAACTGGATTGCATTTATGACGTGTACTATCTATTCCAAATCGAGATTTAGAGATTTTTGCTCATTACTATTAAACATTCCAGTATTTATCCATTTAGACTAGTGACTAATTGGTGAACTAGTCCACCGAGTTCTTTCAGAACCAAGGATTAGATAGATATGACACCTTTTTTCGACTGAGATCATGGATCTCTACAACCTCATACTGATGAAATTATTTACAAGTAATTGGTTAGTTAGCTCATCAAAGTGTGTATTTGTTGCTTTCAAAGTATACTAAGACTTATTTGTTTCACCTAAGCTAATTCAGCAAAAGTTCCTACGGTTGAGCGTAAATTAGAAATTGAATCATTTCATTATGCATAGATTCATAAATAAGATTAGATATTTTCGAAGTTGCGACAATCTAAGGAAGTATGAAATGACATATGAAGCTAGAAAAGTTAGAGTTGATATCGTAACTTAAGGATAATATTCATTGATAATCACGCTGTATCACAGTAGCTAGATTTAAAAATATGGGCCACTGAATTCCTACTCAGTGACTTGAAAGTATCATTCTCATTGTCAGTTTCTAGATAGTCCTAGATTATATCCTTTGTCAGTCTCTTAGTATATGCTCTTGATGATATAAGGTCGGAAACATAATGTTTTCTCAGTACCCCACTCAGTTTTATTGGTTATTTTATTGATTTCTATTTATATTGAAAATAATTATAAAATAAATTAAATTACATCGTTTTGATGGGGTTTTGTTCTCTGATCTGAATGGTTTGGTCGTGGAGCTTTCATCGTTCTTCTTAACGAGTTCATCAGCACAAACCTGAACGATGAAAGTTCCACGACCAAACCATCTAGCTCAGGGAACAAAAATCCATCAAAATCATCCATTTGAGCTACAAATCTTCTCCACTATCTCAAATTACACCGCGTTACTTATTTCAGTGTAGCAAAAGAAAATCTTCATATGTTATTACGCATTATGACAAATGATTTTTGTATACCAGATTTTGAATCATTTGCAAGTGAAATTCAAACAGTTTTTAATTTATGCAAAGAAAATACAAGTGGTCAAGTAGCCAGTTATATACCAGAATTAAAAGAAATGAATCCGAACTATTGGGGTTTATCATTATGCACTGTAGATGGACAACGGTAAGTATGATGAATTCTTTCAAGTTTGAACAGATGATTTACAATATATATGTATGTATATTTACTGTGTTTAGCGGTATAGTAATTATTTGTTAATATAACTGCGCAGGTGCATCCACTCTTTGTTTTCTCCCACATTCTAATATTATGAATTATTCATATTCCTTCCTTTTTTCTCTTTCTAAATTCATTTCACTGGATTATACTCCTTGATTAACATCTTCAAACCCTAATTTTTCCGATTACTGTTTATACTCTTACTACTTCTACCACTAAAGGGTTTGAATCGACAACTGCATCAGTGTGCTAATGTGGTATGACAACTCAAACTGATGTACGTACATACGAAGTTCTACATTGTTACTGACTGACTGACTAATATAACTCCTAATATTATTACTAGTGACTGAATCCTCTATATGAATTGTTGTGGAGGCAAGTATTAAGACAAAGCGTTTTGTAAAGCCTTCTTGTTTCTAAATGGTTTTGTTACTAATTGTTGGGGTATTCAGAAAATACCCCAGAAATTATCTAATGCCATTCCTGAATGAGAAGTAGTGTCATTTCCCCATTGATCAACATTCTTCCAACGTGTCATCTTATTGGTCAATATTTATTTGTGTCATTTCCTGAAGGTTAAATCTTGTACAAATGTTACTTTCTATTTATGGTACGATGTAGTCTGTTTGATTGCTATATAAACAGAGTATGTTTGAAATATAATGATTCATATCTCCGAGGCTGAGACTTGTGTTCTGGACTCAATTGGCTGGGCTAGACAGGGAAGCAGGGCCAATCAGAGCTCTAGGCTGCTCGGTCGTGTTTTGTGCGTCATTGTTTCGATCGATAATAGGCTGCTCTCTAATAGGCGGATCACACGTTATAACACTAATGATAAGAACTGTTTTAAAATAAATAGGGCAAATCAATTCAAAATTCATACTGAAAGTGGTTTTACTCTTCATCATATACTAATAAGACGAAAATTTCTTATCAATTAATAGTTTATGTGTCTACTGAATGATTGACATCCATTAGAGTGAAATTTGTAAATGAGTTATTATTTTGTTCAATGGAATGTATCATGTTATAGATACTGTTAGGAAATAAAGATGGGTGTCTTTTAGTATCTTATAATAGTAATAAATGTCAATATTATTCAAGAAATCTTCTTTATTCTTTTCATAACTTGATTAACTGCTTATAACTTGAATTATTTTTAAGTAGTCGTCTGTATTCAATCCAATAATCACTATGGAAAGTTAAAAAATCACTAATTCTTTCTGTGTTTATTTTGAATGATATTATTTCATTAAATAATAGCTTACAAATTAATTATCTCCCAAGTTATTCACGGTCAAAATAGATACAAATATAAACAACGTAGAATTAGAAAATTATTAGTAAACTAAGAAGAATGACATTGTGACATTGGAGTTTCCTCGCGTGGGTTCGCATCTCATCCCCCGTCGCCAATTACTATAACATGTGGCCTGAGTGCCCTGTTAATGGATAGCGTAATGATACCGCCAATTAGAGAGCAGTGAATTATCGATCGCATCGATTACGCATAAACCTGTATGCGCATTCTAGAGTTCTTATCGGTCCTGCTTTCTACCTAGCCCTGTCTGTTAACTCCAGAACACCAATCTCAAGCTATGCAATATGAATCATTTATTTCGAGCATACTGGGTTCATACATCAACCAGACAGACCACACCGTACCATAAAATATGAAACAACATTTGTACAAGAATTAACCAAATGTGGCTGTGAATGAGGGAGGTAGTAATTAATAGAAAGGGTATAATTGAAGAATGATAAATCGTTGAATAATAGGTCATAGGTCGAAATAAAGCTTATGATAAGAAGAATATGAATATGAATAGTTTAGTTATTTATTAATTATACAATAAAGATATACGTTTAGTATTGGTCCATAAATGGATCCCAAAAGTTACTTACTTACTTACTTACGCCTGTTACTCCCAATGGAGCATAGGCCGCCGACCAGCATTCTCCAACCCACTCTGTCCTGGGCCTTCTTTTCTAGTTCCATCCAATTCTTGTTCATTTTTCTCATATCTATCTCCATTTCCCGGCGTAATGTATTCTTTGGTCTTCCTCTCCTCCTTCGACCTTGAGGATTCCATATGAGGGCTTGTCTTGTGACGCAGTTCGGTGCTTTCCTCAATGTGTGTCCTATCCACTTCCAGCGCTTCTTCCTGATTTCTTCCTCCACTGGGATCTGATTTGTTCTCTCTCACAGTAGGTTGTTGCTTATAGTGTCCGGCCAGCGGATCTGAAGTATTTTGCGTGGACAACTGTTATTAAACACCTGTATCTTTTGGACGATGGATTTCGTAGTTTTCCAGGTTTCCGCCCCATACAGTAGAACTGTCTTGACATTTGTATTGAAAATGCTGACCTTCGTGTTGCTTGCCAATTCTTTTGAGTTCCAGATATTCTTCAGTTGTAAATATGCTGCTCTTGCTTTGCCAATCAATGCCTTCACATCTGCATCAGATCCACCGTGTTCATCGATGATACTGCCCAAATATGTAAAGGTTTTTACATCTTCCAAAGCTTCTCCGTCAATTGTGATTGGATTGTTATATGCTGTGTTGTATCGAAGAATCTTGCTTTTCCATTTGTGTATATTGAGACCTATTGCTGCTGAGGCTGCAGCTACACTGGTTGTCTTCTCCTGCATTTGTTGTTGCGTATGCGATAGAAGAGCCAGATCATCTGCGAAGTTTAGATCATCCAATTGCATCCTAGCTGTCCACTGTATCCCGTGCTTTCCTTCAGATGTTGATGTCTTCATGATCCAGTCGATCACCAGGAGAAAGAGAAAGGGTGAGAGTAAGCAACCTTGCCTGACACCGGTCTTTACTTCGAACGACTTTGTCGACTGTCCTCTATGCACGATTTTGCAGTTTAATCCATCATAGGAATTCTGTATGATATTGACTATCTTCTGAGGCACGCCGTAGTGTCGAAGAAGCTTCCATAGGGTTGTTCTGTCCACGTTATCAAATGCTTTTTCGTAGTCAATGAAGTTGATATAGAGTGATGAATTCCATTCAATTAATTGTTCCACAATGATCCGTAGAATCCCAAAAGTTACCATTCATTATTTTTATCGGGACCTAACAAATACGTAATACTTAAATTTAAGATTTTAAAGGAAATTAACAAATAAATATATCTGTAACTAATTTTAGGCCTTAACACTTTGAGTTATTAAGTATCTTTCATGAGTTTATTATAAATCTTAACAAAAAAAAACGTTTAGTAGTTGAACTCATGAGTCAATTAAAGCTACACCATCATGGAAAACCTGGAAGCACTAGTCGTTTAGCTTTAATTGTCTCATGAATTCAACTACTAAATTATTATTGTATCCACAAAACTCATCTCTGATTATAATCATCATATGCTCACTAATGACAGTCTCCAGGAGGCATTTCCTGGAGTTCTAGTAAAAAGAAGTGACCAGTGGAATTCAACCGGGTCTGTTGTGGCTCTACTTCGTGGATTGGTTGAAGTCAGACATTAAGACCATTGGATACCGGCTCAATGGTCTAAAGGTTTAAGTGTTCGTGCGCGAGACTGATAGGTCCTGGGTTCGAATCTCGCAAGGTGAGGTCGTGGATGTACACTGCTGAGGCGTCCCATACTAAGATGAAACGGCCGTCCAGGTTTTCCATAGTGATTTAACTTCAATTAACTTATGAATTCAACTATTCAAATTACTATAATATCCACAAAACCCCTCTCTGATTAAAAAAATGTTTCATTACAGTGTTAATTATCCATTTATAAAGATTTTACTTAATTTTCCAATTTAATAAAAACAGTTCAATGAATTCAATAAAATACATAATTAACACAACTGATTAATGCAATTAACTATGGTTTTAAACAAGAATAAGTCACATCTATATTTATACTACTATTTATAGCAATATTTATCTTGTTAAACGTTAAAATGAATTCTATTTCATTTTTAAAGTCAATTAAATGGCGCCTTTCAATAATGTATACTTGTTTAAAAGAAAGGTTATCGAATAATATTATCAATTATATAAGTGAATTACTTTCCTATAGATTATAAGTTGAATTGGTCTTAATACAGAAGAAATTACAATAGTATTGTCTTTGATATTGAATGATAATCATGAGTTTCTAAGATTTTTAATTATTGAAGTTTTCATTTAGTTAATTACATAATAATAGAGATAGTAGGGTAATTGATAAGGTTGTAAAAATATATATTGAGTACGTTAGTCAAGACTTGTGATAGACATTGAATCCTTTTGTAATGTTATGGTTAGCTTGTATAAGAGTAGATTGGATGAAACCTATGGAGATGATCAAATTAATCTGTCACATAGCTTCATTAAGTGATTGATTAATTTTAGAATGATTTAGAATAATTGTCTGTGTTTCATACAAGAAAATATTGATTTGTTGTTGAATATTACAGTTAGTCAGTCAGTAACAATGTAGAACTTCGTATGTACGTACATCAGTTGAAGTTGTCATACCACATTAGCACACAGATGCAGTTCTCGGTCCAAATCCCATAGTGGAAGAGGTAGTAAGAGTATAAGCAGTAATCGGAAAGATTGGGGTTTGAAGATATTATTCGAGGAGTATAATATAGTGAAATAAATTTGGAAATTGAAGAAAGGAAGGAATATGACGAATTCAGAATATTAAAATTTGGGAGGAATGCACCTGCACCACTGCAAACGATTTTCAGCTATGTCATTCAAGGTCTCTAACCATAGGTTGCTATCATCTCGCGGAACCCGACCAAGCATCATGGCTTAAAATAGATCATATTGAAAAAGGGATTTTCATTCATCGATTCTATTTGTTTCTCTGAAAATTACGTTGAATAAATTTAAGCTTTAGATTGTTAATGATGTCGATAATTATCCTTTTTTTTCTTTCGTCTTTCTCTTCTGATGTTTTTGTAGAATTTGACTACTTGAACATATATTTAACTATAGCCCATTGGTTGTATCCGCTGGGTGCATCAGTGAATTTATTTTACGGCTTAATGTGATACATAAAATAAACTTGAACCTTTTTTAAAAGTAGCCTAATACAATTTACAAAATGTAATGAAAACATAACTTTGGTGGTCTTGTTAAGAATATGAAATATATATTTATATATCATGAGTGCCGTATGCAGAAATTAGATTAAGGTTTGTGTATCTAATACCAATAATATCACCCGTTTAACAAACATAGATTAGTGTAAAAACTTGGTTAAGAGTCGCTTAATGGATGTAGATAAAATGACTTCAGATTTGCAACGTGTTTAAACCCTACCTAACAATAAACCACTTCTCCTTGATGATGATAATGTGCCAATATAGAACTGCGTATTGTTTTTATCTGGCTCTTTATAAACCAAGCTGGTAGATGTTCACTCATTCGTTGGTTAAGTTGCCTGGCACATGTTATTGATAGCGATCATGCGGTATTTGTTTGCAATTTTCGCCTCCTTCCGTTTATATTCTTCACTATCTAATTATTTACTCATTTCTTATTAAGTAATGATTTTAATGTTTTGTGATGACTATTCTAATTCTATTTACCCACGTTTGACTTACTATTTCCAATGTTTAACTAATGATATGAATTTTGTCATTCTATTTTATTATTTTCATTACTATCATTACACCTTTCTTCCTATTATCAACTTGTACTTTTACCTATTATGTGTGGAGACTTATTCTACTTCACTGGTTGAAATCATGAGTCAATTGAAGCTAGACCATTATGGAAAACCTGAAAGCACTGGACGGCCGTTTCATCCTACTAAGGGACTCCTCAGCAGTGAGCATCCAAGATCCCGTCCCCCGCGAGATTCCAACCCAAGATCTACCAGTCTTGCGCGCGAGTGCTTAACCATTGAACTTATTCTATTTCATTACGATTATAGACCTAAATTACCTTGATTGGTTTAAAATTTTCGTATAAATATTCATGTATATTAGAGTAAAGCCTGATGACGACCTAACTGAAAACAATTGTTCGCTTACATGTGTTGTCCTCATCTTTCATTAATTAGCCAATTCCTTACTTACACCTGTTAGCCCTCGTCGAGGACAATAGATCGCCCACCAACATTCCCCATCGAACTCTGTCCTGGGCAATCCTTTCCGGCTACTATTTATCTTTTCCATGTCTGCTTCAATTTCCGACGCAATGTGTTTTTTGGTCTTCCGCTTTTCCTTTTTCCTTCAGAATTCCAAGTTAGGGCTTACCGCGTGATTTAGTTTGTTGATTTCTTCAACGTATGTGCTATCCACTTCCAACAACTTTTACTCATTTCTTCTTCAGCTGGAAGCCAGTTTGTCATCTCCTATAGAAGGCTGTTGCTGATAGTGTCCGACCAATGGACATTGAGTATCTTGTGTAGACAATTGTTTATAAATACTTTTACTGTTGGATTTGAAGGACATTATATAACATGAACTAATGCCGAACTGTCTACCATCATTGATGATCCAGTTTCCATTGAGAAATTTAGAATTGATATTGTAAAGTAAATAGCTCAAGGTGCATTTTTGTTGATGATTGTAGTAGTTCTCCAAGTTTCAGCTTCGTACAGTAGAACTGTCCTGACGTTCCTATTGAAGATTCTAACTTTGACATAACTTGACAGTTGTTTTGTGTTCCATACGTTCTTCAACTATAGCCTATAAAATTTGTAAAAAGCCATATTTTCTACAAAGTCACTGACATAAGTAGTAATTATGTGTTTTGTTGTGAGTATCTTCTAGACAAAATTCTGAAACATTTTCACTGAAAAACCATTTTATTGGTAAAGTTAACCAGATCAGAAAAACCGCAGTAACGCTTATGTAGAAATGAATAAAGATCACACATACTAAATCATGAATTAACTGAGGTCATCAAAAGTTAACAATGGACTATTGTCAAAAGAATCAATGTTCAAGTGAATGTAAACGATCACTGTTAAGGAATCTCTTACCTTGATGTAACAACTTTTCATTAATTTTCACTTATTCTTTCCTGTGAATGTTTATTTGCTCACTCAAACAATTATTCCTTCGAATTTAAATGGAATCACTTGAGAAACACTACCATCTAAATAACAAGTTTATTCAGGATTGTTGCATATATATATATATATATATATTCAATATTGATAGTCGTTCGTGTTTATTTCTTCTATTTTTTTAAAATTTCATTAGCTTGTCCATGGGTGATAGCACTGTCCCATTTACAATACAATCTAGTAGTAAACCAATTACATATGCATTAGCTTTGACCGATTTAGGTCCACAACATGTTCATCAATATGTTGGCTATGAACCATCAGGATTACCATTCAATCAAATTTCTTTAAATCATAAAAGTAAGTTAATAATTCAAGTTGAGTTTTAGAAACATTTATTAAATAATCTAATACTGTTGTAGTGAAGGCGAACACAAATAGGGGCAATCGAATGTATTTGAACATAAAATTACAGCATATCTTAGTAAAATCTGAGTACCATACAGTAAATATTTCATTTTAAATATGTTATTCAATCGTCTCAAACTTCATTGTTACTGCATACTTTCTGTTCCTGTTCTTTCCTTCTCGATCTTCTACTGAAATACATTCTATTCCTGACTATTGTCATATACTACTTTTATGGATATAAGTAGCACACATCACATTGCACTTTTAATTTTACTGAATTATCTAAACTGAAAATGAATGAATCAACAAATTTTCATGGTTACTCTGGACAATATATATTATTAGTACATACATTAAGACTAAACTATCACACTCAAAGAAATCAATAGCATCAAAGTATCGAATTGAGTTACAAATCTTTTCCATCGTTTTAAAAGATTTAACTCATTTTCATCACATTATTTACATCAAATTATCTCTTAATGTTTACGACAGAAACCGCCTAGCAACTATACAGAATATTTATTACCAATTTTGTGGAAATAAGGTAACCTCAGATGTATTACTCTTTAATAATCGTGAGGGAATTCTCGGAGGTCTAGTTAGAAAATGTGACCAATGGAGCTAATCCGTGACGGCTAGAGATAGGTATTTACCTCAGTAAAATGGAAGATGGTCAAGAAATTTCGTGGATTGGTTGAGGTTAGACATTAGTACCGTTGGATGACGGCTGGCTCGGTAGTTTATTAGGTCGAGCGTTCGCATGCGAGACTGAAGGCCCTGGATTTGAATCCCGCGAGAGAGGTCGTGGATGCTCACCACTGAGGAGTCTCACAATAGGACGAAACGGCAGTCTAGTGCTTCCAGGTTTTCAGTGGTGGTCTAACATGAATCGGTTCATGATCTCAATCAATAAAGTCAATTTGATTATATATGTATAATTTCTCATAAAAATTATGTTTTAATTTTGTAGTATTTTTTCTATAAATAATGGAGTTCAATTATGTTAGATATGAGGCAAACATTCAATAATGACTTTGAAAAAAAGTTTATTGAGTAGTATATCGTAAATCAATTAAAGCCAAGAATATTGACTATTGAATATTGATTTGTCATTTAAAATATTAAGCGCTCATTATGAGATCTAAAATTTTTGAACTGTATCGTTTTCGAAATCGTACATATAGAAGGTTTGATATTATGACCAAATAGCTATTTGGTACTTTTTAACTTTTAATTGTTGTTTAATTAAGATCATTCTTTCATGACATAACCCTTCTATCGCATACACACGAACAAATGCAGATGAAGAGAACTAGTATAACAGAAGCCTCTGCATCAGTAGGCCTCAACATACACAAAGGAAAAGGCAAGATCCTCAAATACAACACGGAGAACACTGACTCAATCACACTTGATGGAGAAGCTCGGGAAGATATAGAATCTTTCACTTACCTGGAAAGCATCATCTATGAACAATGAGGATGAGATGTAGACGTAAAGACAAGGATTGGAAAAGCATCGACAGCATTTTTACAATCGAAAAACATATGGAACTCAAAACAACTGTCAACCAACATCAAAGTCAGGATCTTCAATACGAACGTCAAGACAGTTCTATTGTACAGAGCTGAAACTTGGACAACTACTACAACCATCATCAAGAAGTTACAAGTATTTATAAATAGTTGTCTACAAAAGATACTCAATGTCCGTTGGTCGGATACAATCAGTAACAGCCTTCTATAGGAGAGGACAAACCGGCTTCCAGCTGAAGAAAAAACTGGGAAAAGACGATGTCAGTGAATAGGACATACATTACGAAAATCACCAAGCTGAATCACATGGCAAGCCCTAACTTGAAATCCTGAATGGAAGCAGGAAAAGGCGAAGGTTATAGAACACATTACATTGGGAAATTGTAGCAGATATGAAAAGGATAATTAACAACTGGAAAGGATTGCCAAGGACAGAGTTAGATGAAAAATGCTGGTAAGTGGCCTATGCTCCTTCAAAAGGAATAACAGGCGTAACTATTTAAATAAGTAAATTGATATAAACTATGAAAAGTACCATGTTTTTTTTCTTCGATTTGTTATTGAAATACTAATCTCATTTTTAGTAAATTTCTCTACCTGGATGAAAATCAATAAAAAAATTTCCCGTTTTTTTTTGTAATGGTTACTTAATTTTTTAACAGAAATAAAGTTATTAATAAAATTAGCCAATAATATTATAGAACCTTTTAAAATTAACCAATCATATTTTGTATTTTTATAGATTGGGATATTATATATTAATATCCAAAGGGGGGTTATGTGGATATTATTGAGAAATTTATCAATAAAATATTTTTATAGACAAAATATATTTATTACGTTAATAGAACAAATCAAATCAAAAAAGAAAAGTGGTAAAATCTATAATTTATGGATGATCCATTAAACGATACTAGACAGACTTTGAAAGTGTTCAATAAATAACCAGGATCAGATCAGGGCTATGAACCCGCATAGGGAATTTAAATTAAGATTTACAATTAAGGATTATGGGTTAAGAATTAAATGTCACGTTTTCATCACTAACTGACATCAGCTATAATGCCAAAACTCTATTTATCCAAATGGATGAGTAAATTTCGTGCCAAAATCCGAGACTTGTTTATCTTATACCTGATTGATTTGTCCATAAATTATAGTCTGGCCAGAAAAGCAAAACTCTTTATTCAAGTTAATGACTTTCTGAACTCAGTAGATACGATGGATAATGTTTAAGTTGTTTGAAGTAAAAAAGTACTAGGTTTGAGTAGTGGTTGTTATGTCATGATAAAAATAATGAATGGTAACTTTTGGGATCTATTATGGACCAATACTAAACGTATATTTTTATTGTGTAGTTATTTAATAACTAAACTATTCATATTCGTGCTCCTCTTATTATGAGCTTTATTTTGATACATAGATTATTATTATACGACTTGACGTTCTTGAGTTATGCTCAGTCTATCAATTACAGTCCCCCACATTCACAGCCATATTCGGCTAATTCTTGTACAGAATTTATTTTCTATATTATGGCACGATGTGGTTTGTTTGGTTTGTATATAAACTCAGTATGTTTGAAGTACATGATTCATCTCGCAGAGGCTCGGATTGGTGTTTTGGACTTAACTATCTGGGCTAGGCGGAAAGCAGGATCATTAAGGACTCTGGATTGCTCATACGGGTTTACGCATCATCGATCCGATTGATAATTCACTGCTCTCTAATTGGCGGTATTATTACGTTATCCATTAACAGAGCACATAGGCCACAAGTTATAACAGTGGTATATATACTTAACACTGTAAGATAGGTGTATATTAATCTAACTATTCTCAAATATAACAAAGTGCTAGCGTTAAATATTACTGCTAGCTATATTTTATCTATTCTTTCAAAATAGATCATTATTTCTCTCTTGATATTGTAAAATAATAAAATAGACGTTTAAAGGGATTATGTCTATAATCAAACTTCAAGATCCTTTTTGTTTGATCCTATGTAAGTTTGTTAATGGATACACGGTATTGACGAGTCAGTTCTAATTTATGATGAAACAATCAATTTGTTCTCCTTAGTCTTCTGAATAATGTCAATTTATGATGAGAAGGACTTTTAAAATATCTATCCTCTGAAAAACATTTAGCGTTTTGAATAGCCATAAAAGTCTTTGATAACTAATTTATTTAACATTCTCTACTAACCAATTTCACATGAGTTATCTTATTTATGAGTTTATAAGCAAAGATGGATAGTGGCTAGTAGTGGAATGCAGGACGCGCGTTTCGTATTATCTAGGACTCGTCAGCTGGATGTACCTGAATCTCAGAGTTGATATTCACTCTGGGACTTGAACTCAATACCATTCGCTTCAAACACCATAGTGTTATCCACTTATCTACTGAGTCCTGATAGTCACCTACTTATGCCACTATCCATCTTTACTTATAAAGCTTGTGATCTAAGACAATATCGAGGCAGTCTGCACAGAATGAACATATGCTAACAACAGACTAATCAATTACAGTCCTAAATAACAATGAGAAGTTACAAGTAAAACAATATTAAGTGAATTTATTTTATGGTTTACTGAAAATTATTGTCTAATGAATATTTATTTATTAAATAGATAAACCACATAATCCCTTAATAAATTCTGGAGCATTAGCTATTTGTAGTATACTACAACCAAATTTAAATCCTTCAGAACGTTTTAAATATGTTGAAAATAAATTTAGTCAAATGGCTGGTGGATTACCAATGGGATTTAATAATGCTGTGTAAGTTTGACATTTTCTCATTTCTTTTTATGTTCTACAGTCGAATAGATAGTAATAATTGTATGTTTACTAGTGATTGATCAGCTTTGAAAAATGTTTCTATGAGAACTTTCAAGATATGTTGATTAATGTAAAGTCAAGTAATTTGTGGATAAATCAGTCGGTAATTCATTGATGAGAATAGATGAATAATATGGGCTATCTTAGATGTATTAAAGTAGATATTCAGAGGAGTGAAATTTTAACTTTACAGCTGGATGGTGTATTCATGTTACTGAGGAGTATCGACGGTTGTTATTGTTGTTGTTGTTATTCACACTGACAAAGAATTTGAAACAGGAACAAAACTGTCATATGATGTCAGTTCGTGAAATTTACTTAATTATCCACAGAATTACCTAGTCTTGAATATTTTTTAGCGTTGTTCAGTGGAAGTTAATTAATTTGATTTTTCTTTTACGATCAGTTGATGATATATCAGGATAAATATGAGGCGAAAGTGATCTTTCGGAACGGTCCTATCTGATGTTATTATTTATATTCTTATTAGATAATTAATAAATAATGGGCGAGACTGTAATTTATGGGTGAACTAATCAGATTTACGATAACAGGTCTTGGATTTTGGCGCGAAATTCATTCATCCATTTGGCTAAATAGAGTCTTGGCATTTAAGCTTATATCAGATCGTGATGAAAACCCTCAATCTAATTCCTTACCCTAACCATCAACTGTGAATGATAATTTTTATTCTTCAAACTGCTTTATAACCCTCATTTAGCTCTAGTAAGTAGGCAGAGACTCTCAAGATCACTTTGACGTCGCTCAAAGGTCGTCAATAAGTCATAGTCTCACCGCTTTGCTTTTTCAAAGTTATTGTTAATTTATCACAGACCTATTATTCAATTCTGTTTCACTTATGACTCAGTTATGTTTGGATTGTATTTTCCTAATCCCCTTGATGTAAGGTCAGGATTTTACTCAATAATCATAACTTTGAGATGTATAAGCTATCTGCATACTGAGTTGTTCTTTATTCTGTCTATTGGATGACGGAGTGTGAGATAATGTATTCTTGATCAATTATCATTTATTATTACTCTCGGCTGTTATCTTATTTGTTAGCCGAAGGTCACTGGCATCAGATAAATAGTCTAAACGAGTTAGTCAATACAACTCCCTACCAGTTTTATGGTCCAGTTTCACCGCTGCCTAAAAAGCCGAACGAGAAAATCTGTTTATTTTCGCTGACAAATCAACTGATCACTCAGTAGCGACCAATATCTTGCATGTGAAACACATTTTAGTACTGATCAGGTTCCATCGATCAAGTTTCAATATAGCCACTATTCTGAGTGACTCAGCATCGCGTACACCAGGTTGATACGTGAGATAGTGGTTGATGGTGGTCGACAGGATTGACTAGGTATAAATTTATCTCAGTCCTGTAGTAGGTCAGTAGTGGCCCGAACAATTCAGTGGTAACGTCTTTAAGTAAGGTGGCACGGGATCGAATCTGCCAAAGACTATTAGTTCCTTCAAGATTACAGCTTCACCTTGGTGATGGGCACCAAATAGCATGAAACCTAAGTCTATGGTTTCCTATCGACTACCTACAACCACAACCTTGATTATTTGTTTTTGAAAGATTTTGGTTTCAGTCACATTCATATACTAGCGCTTATCATCATATTACCATTGAAAAATCAAAGCTAACTGTATATTGTACCTACAGTCTACAGTCAGGAAAAACATTTGAACGTTATCATTTGAATTAAGCATTGTTAGCTGTACTCATTGCTTATTTATAGAATTTAACATTGGCGTAATTTAACATTGATATTATTTCATCAAATATTTTGGTTATTATACTATACTACTATTGAGTAGCATTGATTATGTTTTCATCATCTACAAGCTATTAAGAATGATTGGTTCAATGTTTTATCTTTCACAACTTGATTTTAGCCTGTCTAGTGTAAACAGGGAGGGGGTCAAACTTAATAATAATCAGTTATTTTTAATAGTCTACTGTTTTAGTATCGATCTCTTGAATGAATTCGAGCTCAGAGCCCTTAAAATAAGAAAATCTTAATACATAGATTATTCTAAACACTTCGAAAAATGTACAATACAGAAAAGTGTTTTCCACAATTTTGATGGTAATACTGAGGGTAATAGACAAATTATCTAAATTTGATAATATCCTTGTAATTTACATATTCAATTACTTCTATGATGTAGTTCGCATCAGTCAACTTTTTAAGAATTTACTCCTTCGTACTTGTAAACACCTCTCAAATCGGGTTACCAAATGTATATTCAAAACTGTGAAAAACTCCATCCATTTCAAACTTGTCAAAGTAAAATGTCTGATTAGTTATTTTCAATAATTTATTAGGCTATTTATTGTTTAACAAAGTGTTTCAGACTCAAAGTCCTTTAAATAGCATAAGTAATAGCTGTTTAGAAATAGAGAACCTGGAGTTTTATGTACAAGAATATTACATTCAGTTTCATTTCTTTCTTGGTCAGTTTCAGGTCTAATAAATCAATAGTCATCTTGATAAGAGGTTAACTGAATTTGATCAATGTGTAGACACTCTTCAAACTCCACCTGTAGCTCTACTAGAGTTACTGACGATCCCAAGCCCGGTTAAAGGAGGAGGGTTTGTCATGAGGTTAGCGACCTCATCCCGTAGAAAACTAACTCACTTTAAAAAAAACGCAAACACCCTTCTCCATTGGATTTTTGTAATTTTAATTCTTTTTATTCAGATATTATTATGATTATTAAATATGAACAAGCTTCCAAATACGTGGATAATTTAGTTGTCACTCATTATTCTTTATTAGTTCTTATTGGATTGAAATCAATCTATATTTTATTATATAACCGTTGGTCAAACATTTGATTCGATCCGTAATTACATTATTACTTTTTTTCACTGTTAGTTCTTTTAATTTATCTTGACAATTAGAATCTTATTCAGGTAAACATTATGTACTGGTTATTTATACACGAACATTTCAAATGTATTCTATTGTAGTGGTGTAGCTTCGTTAATCAATCACCTTAATAACCGTTATAATATAAATCTCAACAGTTTTTGAAATCGAAAGGCAATAAGTAGTGGCGATTATAGTTTATTAGCGGAGAGCACGGATCACAAAGTTATAAGCACATTGAGATAGTTTGGAGTAGAGAGGCAAATTCATAGTCAAATCGAATCAAGACGCAGCTAGTCGAAGCGAAGGCTAATAATAGGATTCGTGGGAAAGAGAATGATTGATCGAGTGATATTAAGGTGGTCACATCTTTAAGCTGAGTGATATGTACGTATGTTGTCATATGATCAAGATTACCCGTTTACACAGACAAGATAGTGATCATACTAGTACAAAGAAATATGAGAATTGTTACTGTTCAAACAACAATGTCTGTTAAGTAAGTTAATAAAAATGGGCTTAATCAAAATTAACCATAATCGAAATTGATTGTAAGAGAGTTACTATACTATAAACTATCTTCAATTCCTATGTGATATAATTTAAAAAAACATTCTATTTCAATAGATGAGATCATGAATCAATTGAAGCTAGACCACTATAGACAACCTGCAAGCACTGGACGGACGTTTCGTTCTATTGTGTATTTCCTCAGCAGTTTGCATCCACGATCTCGCCTCGCGAGATTTGAACTCAGGACCTATCTGTCTCAAGGTGTGAGCATTCAACGTTTGCTGAGGGAGTCCCATACTAGAATGAAAAAGCCATCCAATGCTTCCAGGTTTTCCATAGTGATCTATTCTATTTGTTTGAACCATTTTCATTATTTTGGATCATTAATTTATGAATTTGAGTAAAATTTATTAAAAAGAAATAATTATTTATGATCTATTTTTTGTTTAATTATTTTTAGATTTTTATCAGAACGTGAAACAGCTGATCGTAATTTTGCTATTGCATATTATATGCGTGAGAATAAATGTTTTCCGCCAACTTTTGAATTACGTGAATTAATGGATTTTTATTTTCAAATATGTTCAATTGAAGTAACTTGTGAATCAGCTGGTATTATGGCTGGAACATTAGCCAATGGTGGTATTAATCCATTAACAAATGAAACTGTAGTAAGTGCAGCTGCAGCACGAGATACTCTATCTGTTATGCATTCATGTGGAATGTATGATTATTCAGGACAATTTGCATTTAAGGTAATTTGTTGTATTGTCTTTTTGGTTTAAATTTACTAAGATAATTGGAAGCAAATCAGATACATCCAGCTGAAGAGTCCCAAATAGGACGAAGTGGTACGCATCCTGGATTCCACTGCTAGTCACTATCCATCTTTACTTATAAAAGTTTGTGAATCAAGGCAATATCGAGGCATACGCACAGTATGCACATATGCCAATAACAGACTGATCAATTGCAGTCTTAAAAACTCAATGGGAAGATACAAGCAAAACAATACGAAGTGGATTTAAATTCACCTCATTGCACAAGCAAGTGGCTATCAGGACTCAGTAGCTGAGTGGATAACGCGATGGCATTTGAAGCTAATGGTACTGGGTTCAAGTACCAGGGCGAATATTAACTCTTAGATGCAGGTACATCCAGCTGACGAGTCCCAAATAGGACGAAAGGCGCATCCTGGATTCCACTACTAGCCAATATCCATCTTTGCTTATAAATAACTATTTTTGTTATTAACCTAATTGTATTATAAATACATTGGTTATTTGTAATGGAATAACACCAAATGAAGGGTCAGACGTATATTATGTTGAGAATATAACATCCTTAGAACTCATTTGATAAATACCGTATTTTTGTTTTCGCGCCAAACCCGCTCTTTTCACCTTCACGTCGTATTTCCCACTTGGGAGAATCTTAAACACTATTGGTCCATTTTGTCTTTCAGTATGCTATTTTGTAACGCTTCCCAAGGACAGTTTTTTGCTGGATATATACGTTTGATTTGTGCCTGTTGTTATGGCTCGTACTTCTGATTGCTTGCGGAATACATTTCCTCGTTCGAACTTCGACTTCTTTTTGTAGTTAGAGGAGCTGGGAAGCATCAGAATAGCTAGCTTATTGGTCTTTGGTAACAGAGTCTTTGTTCCGTTCTCAGACTAGGTGAACTCATAATCGCTTCGAACATAGCATATTGTCCTGTATGTTTTATTATTTTTTAACTTCTTAACAATGTACACTTTACATATGAGTTTTGAACTCATGATTTTCAGGTTTCTCTAAAGGCATGATTCTTCTAAAATCTATAAGTTACATTCAAATGGCTTACATTTTAAACCTTAATTAACTTGTGATAGGAAATGATACTGGATCACATTTATTGACCTTCAGTGATTCTTTAACCATTATCAGTTTATAAAGAAAAAAAATATTTCGAAACTATTCAATTGTCTGTGCGAAATCTCCAACTAAAGAAAACATTTTATCTCTATATTATAAATAAGCTAAGTTATCTTAGACAAGAATAACAGTGATTATTGTCATTGACGGTTATTCGACAAACGCAGGAATATTCATCGATCATGAAATCTATGAAAGATGTACTTAGAATAAAATTAATCTGTAGTATGACTTTAATGATCTTGTTAAAAAGAGAATTTAAGGAGACTATAATTTATGGACGAACCAATCAGATTTAAGGTAACAAGTCTTGGGTTTCGGAACGAAATTTATTCATCTATATGGTTAAATAGCGTTTGAGCATTATAGCTGACGTCAGTTTGTGATAAAAACTTTAACTGTCATTCTTAACCGAAACTTTTAACTCTAAATTCCGATTCTGATTTCTCACACTAATTTGTAACTCTCTTTAGAGCTTAGTAGGTTGGTGAATTTTCTCAAGATTACTTTGGTGTTGCTCAAAGGTTGTCCGCAAATTATAGTCTCACCGAAAACTTATTTTATTATTTTAAGTTAACGATTGACTATAGCTACAATTTTATAAGGTTAGTAATGTAAGGGATCTGATGTTTAGACAACTATCAAGAAACTTGAAAAATATTGGTTCAGTCACTAAGGAGGTTATGAAAACTTTAATTCCCTACCATAGTTGGATGATAGTTCTTGATCTTTAGTAGTTATTCAATCAAAGATCAACGATCTCTATACTGACGAGTTTATATTGATGCATTTTGTACAATATACGTAAATACATAACCTTACAGTATCGTTTTATGATTACCATATTTCTCTAATCATCCATTGCTTTGTTCTACACATATACATGTATAAACATTTTATATTTATTTAAAAAGGTTGGTTTGCCATGTAAATCTGGTGTATCCGGTATAATCATGGTAGTAGTGCCTAATTTACTTGGTTTAGCTGTCTGGTCACCGCCAATTGATAAACATGGGAATTCGGCTAGAGGTATACAATTCTGTCAAGTCAGTGCTATTCACTTATTCAATATTGATTTGGTTAAAACCTTTTAGTTGAATTTTTATGTTGTTTTTTAAATTCCGGTTATTTGTTGTACTTCTAGAAGTTTCTACATATACCTTTGAAATATGATTTTAGTTGAAAACATTACGAAGGACGGTGTTTTTTTCATTAAATAATCCGGTATAAGTACATCGGTTCACATACTCCATTCGTGCTAGTTGTGTAGGTTGATGATTGAGGCTTTATTACTACATGTAAAAGCTTTTTAAAGTATAACTTAGGAGAAGACAATTGGGGGATCGATTACTTCGTTTATGACACAATGCATATTGTATTTCACCCATATTTTTTCCAAGATCATTCACAAAGTAGAGTTAAGCATTCAGTGAGTTTATCACCCTTGACCTATGTTACTCTATGAAATGCTTAGCTACCCACAGTTTGAAACAAGAGTTATATGTAGAAATAGATTGATAGATTCCTTTTTCACTATGATGATAATTCTATCATATTTCAAGTTTAATCAGTGTTTTCTAAAACGCTTCCTTTCAACGTGAACTGATATAAGTTAGAAAACTTTTATAAAAACAATAATCGCATTATAACTGTTTCATATTAGTGTGTAAGTTCTCATCATAGTACACTCATGAGTGTATATCAGATGGGCTTGAGAATATTTAGATTTCAGTCGTGTCGTCTCTAAATGACTGAGAACCTTATTGGAAATATTATTTTTTTTTAAGATTTTAGATATGTAATTTTAATAGTTGACTTCATAAGTCAATTGAAGCTAGACCTCCATAGAAAACCTAGAAGCACTAGACGGACGTTTCATCCTAGTGTAAGACTCCTCAGCACTTCGTATCTACGATCCTGCCTCTCGAGGTTCGAATCCAGGACATATCAGTCTCGCGCGCGAGCGTTGAACGTCTGATGAGGAGTCTTATAATAGGACGAAACAGCCATCCGGTGCTTCCAGGTTTACCATGATGGTCTAGCTTCAATCGACTTATGAATTCAACTAATTAAGTTACTATAATATCCACGAAACCCCTCTTTTTGATAGAGTTTTGTTCTCTCAGCTGGATAGTTTGATCGTGGAGTTTTCATCGTTCTTCGAACACTTCACTTCTACCTGGAGGTTGTGCAGATGATCTCGTTCAAAAGAGAACCATGAAAGCTCCATATCTAAGCCATCCAGCTCAGAGAACAAAACTCTATCAAAATCATCCACCTGAGTTACAAATATCCACCATCACAAAATTCTCTGATTTTAGATTTGCTTTAATGATGAGCGTAAAACATACAATCTAGTTTAAAGACTATCTTCTGATTATTTGTTTAACCATAATACATCCATTAATATTCTGGAAATATTGATTACTTGTAAATGGAATAACATATTACACATAGTTGTATATCTATTGACTGAATTCAGAATTTCCAGAACATTTCAAATCGTTTAATATGATTTCAATAGAATTTCTATTTCTTGTAATTATCAATTAAACCTTATTTGACATTCCATGAATTATTGATTCTTTTATTGTTATGGATGAATTGATTCTATTGTTTGTTTGTTTGTATAGTTGAGTTAGAAGTACAGATTAGTCGGCATTCTTGGACAGTTCATATTGTACAAAATGTAGTTATATAAAATAAACAAAAGCAAATTCATATTGACTAGTATGGAATGGAATTAGAACAAAAATAGAACAACTATTTATTTTTCCCATATTTTAAGCAAGTACATTGTAAATATACTAGTTTGTAATTTTAGTGTGTAAGTTTACTAGTTCAGCTAGATCAATGCTTAACACTTACTTACTTACCTACGCCTCTTACTCCCAATAGAGCATAGACCGCCGACCAGCATTCTCCAACCCACTCTGTCATCCTCGACCTTCCTTTCCACTTCTATCCAATTCTTGTTCACTCTTCTCATTTCTGTCTCCATTTCTCGACGTAAAATGTTCTTTGGTCTTCCGCTTTTCCTTTGACCTTGAGGATTCCATATGAGGGCTTGTCTTGTGACTCAGTTCGGTGCTTTCTTCAATGTGTGTCCTATCCACTTCCAGCGTTTCTTTCTGATTTCTTCCTCTACTGGGATCTGGTTTGTCCTCTCCCATAGTAGGTTGTTGCTGATAGTATCTGGTCAACAGATCTGAAGTATTTTGCGTAGACAGTTGTTGACTCTCTAAAAATACGCTAACCGGAAAAAATAATTCAAACCATTTCACACTGAAATAGTTGATAAATGTGGAATTCGTAACCAAATGGTCTTTGTATTTAAAAAAATACAATAAAGTTTTCAGTTAACTTGTCACTTCCAGTATAATACAATAATCATCGGGGAGATTATAATTTTATAAAGAATCAATCAGATTTGAGATAACAGGTCTTAGATTTTAGCGCGAAATTCACTCACCCATTTGGCTCAATAGAGTCTTGGCATTATAGTTGATGTCAGTTCGTGGTGAAAAACCGTAAATCTAATACCTAACCCTAACCATCAACTGTGAATGATAATCCTTAATCTTCGAACTGCTTTATGACCCTTATTTAGCCCTAGTTAGTAGATAGACACTCTGAAGGTTATTTTGGCGTCGCTCAAAGGTCATCCATAAATTATACTTCCACCTAATCATCATTATAACTTTTAAAAAATTAGAAATGATGATGAAATCAGATTCAAGTCTTGTTTGAAGAGGATGAAAATTTTTTTTAAAAAATATTACCTCGGTTTCATGCATTTGATAAATAGAACTTTTGCAAATTTGTGATATATATATATCTCGGATATATACTGAAAATCAGCCATTTCATTTTAGTATAGGACCCGATAAAAGCTTATACTGAGTAGTAGCACAAAAGCTTTTAATAACGTTATCTTGATTGAAGACCATTGTCCATTGTCATCTCTGATATTTGAAAATCTTAGTTTCGATCTTATATAAAGTCATAATTATGCTTTATTGAATTGTATATTAGTATGAAACACCTAGCCAATGAACCGAAATTTTTTCATTAGTTCTTAAGTTAAAGTCAGTCTATTTATAAAAAAAACTACAAACTAGATATACGAATATTCGTCAAGATTAGAACGAATAGTTTGACAGATATTGGGCGCCTAGTATAAAGAAGTCATTATATATGTAAATTATATTTGAAATAATTTTAGCAATTGAAATTTAATAGTATTTCCAACGTTTCGTCCAGCTAACTTGTCTGGACTTCTTCAGGGTAATAATCAAAATCAAAATCATCAAAGAATTATATAGCTTTTTAACAATCATAACAAAGTACAGTTATGATTGTTAAAAAGCTATATAATTCTTTGATGATTTTGATTTTGATTATTACCCTGAAGAAGTCCAAACAAGTTAGCTGGACGAAACGTTGGAATTATTTAGAATTTCAATCGCTGAGATTATTTCAAATATAATTTACATATACAAACTAGATAATCTTCATAAAGTTTTCTATATTAATATTTTATCAAATTTGTTATAAATAAAAACTTTATGGATCATTTTGAGAAACTTTAAAGTTTCTACCTATCAGTCTATTTTGATCAGATACTATTCATTATATACCATTTATTATAGGCATAATGAATTTATAATGATTGAAAGATTCAGATTGATTGTTGGTAAATTTCCTTATTTAAATTTTCATTGTTTTTGTTTACATTTCGATTTAAGTGTACTTTTTAGATATTTTTTCTCAATTATTATTCTTTTGTTTACAAACTAATTTCTTCTCTGAATAACCTACTCTATGAATAGCTTATATGGGTGAAACTATAATTTATGAACGAACCAATCAGATTAAGGATAACAGGTCTCAGATTTTAGCGCGAAATTCACCCACACATTTGGTTAAATAACGTCTTGGCATTTTAGCTGATATCAGTTTGTGATGAAAAATCTAACCCTAACTATCAACTATAAATGATAATCGTTATTCTTCAAACTGCTTTATGACTCTCATTTAGCTCTTGTAAGTAGGTAGAAACTCTAAAGATCAGTTTGGGGTTGCTCAAAGGTCATCCATAAATTATAGTCTCATCAATACTGTTCACATAACTGGTGAATAGTGTAGCGGACGAAATGTAAACATTTAATTGATGTATCCTGTGGATGGAAACATCTTGAAACATCTCTGTCTTCCTTTAAAAGATGAATTTCCAAATGTATTACATATTAGAACGAAGTTTGTTTAGAATGAATGTTAAAGTGAACTAGCAAAACTGAAGTTGTATTTAAATACTTATAAAGCCTGATTACTTTAGCTTCATTTACAAAGTCATTCAATCTTATTTTCATAATGTTTAAAAGCTACAAGTATACCACTGATCTTTATCCATTGATATATTAGTAAACAGAATTGGAATTATCGAAGTCAATTTGTTGTCTGAATACCTTAAACATAAATAACATTGGAAGAGGTTGGTTACGGTATCTGGATAAAAATCAACATTCTCAAAATGGAAACTAATTTCTAGTAAAGATTGTTATAATGTTCCAAACTTAATTGTAAAACTGTTAACAAGTCATTTTTCAGTGAAATAAATTAAAATATTGCAAAGATATAATCAGCTTTTATTATATTAATTTATATAATTTTTCGACTACGTAAGTAGTAGTAAGAGTAGTAATAATTCAATCTCCTGGTGTATCAATTAAACATGTCAACATTTGAGAAGAAGCATGATATACAATAGATAACTAGCATGCAGCTGGATGATCTAGACTTCGTAGAAGATTTGACTCTTCTATCGCACACGCAACAACGAATACAGGAGTAAACGACCAGTGTAGCAGCAGCCTCAGCAACAGTAGATCTCAACATACACAAAGGGAAAGGCAAGATTCTCCTATACAACAGAACATGCACCAATCAAATCACAATTGACGGAGAATCTATGGAAGATGTAAAAACGGTTACATATCTGGACAGCACCATTGATGAACACGGTGGATCTGATGCAGATGTGAAGGCACGGATTGGCAAAGCAAGAGCAGCATATCTACAACTGAAAAACATCTCGAACTCAAAACAACTGTCTGTCAACCAACACCAAGGTCAGAATCCTCAATTTAACTGTCAACACAGTTTTTCTGTATGGGATTGAAACTTAAAGAACTACGAAAGTCATCATCAAGATGATACAAGTGTTTATTAACAGTTGTTTATGAAAAATACTCCAGATCTGTTGGCCAGACACTATCAGCAACAACCTACTATGGGAGAAAACAAACCAGACTGCAGTGGAGGAAGAAATCAGAAAGAAACGCTAGAAGTGGATAGGACACACATTGAAGAAAGCACCGAACTGAGTCACAAGACAAGCTTTCACATGGAATCCTCAAGGCCAAATGAGGAGAGGAATACCAAAGAACACAATACGCCGAGAAATGGAGACAGACATGAGAAGAGTAAACAAGAATTGGATAGAACTGGAAAGGAAGGTCGAGGACAACAGAGTGGGTTGGAGAATGCTGGTCGATGGCCTATCTCCCATTGAGAGTAACAAGCATAAATAATTAGGTGACTAAGTATGTAATTAGTTCAAATATTAAAATTACCATCTGTTATGAGGTTGGAAGTAGTAGGAAGAATACCATAGATTTAGTTTTCAAGTTAGTTAGATTTCATTATTTTAAAGAAATTAATACTTCTATTAGAATATAAATCTTGATTATTTATCTCCATAATTTATGAATTTACTATTGACCTATTTAAGATAGTCATCAATCTCTTATATCACTAATCAGTAACCAATTAAAGTAGATTTCGAGTTAATAAACTACTTATTTACTACTTAATTTACTATTCTGATTTCATATATATTTTTTTCATTTATTTAGATCTATTTAGTTTTTACTTTGCTAACTTTTTTAAATAAATTTAATTATTAACATTTTTAATATTCAGTTTATCAATGAATTATATTAGAACATCTTGTTTTCTGGAAGATTTTCACAACTGAATTAATCTTTTAGATGACTGAAAAATATTCATAGTTTCTATGCGATTCGTCTTAACACGTTATAATCAAGTTAATTGGATTAATTTTATAAGTAGAGTTGATTAATTTATTAGTTCATTTGGTAGAAGTTTTTTTTTTAATAATAAAAGATTTCGATTATATCTATTTGATACATAGCCCCCCAAATGCCCAGGTACGGTCAAGAGTGTGAAGTGTCAGCTCTTCTTATGGAAATGCTTTCACATGACCACGTGCATACAACCACTGCCAGAGAAGTCCTATTCACTGACTTCTCGTGACATTACTATTGTTTACGAAATTGAGAGGATGAAAAGCGAATGTCCAGTGCTTTAACTGGGTTAGTGGACACGAAATGTTCACCTAGGGGATTTGGAAAACCCTGATTCCAAATCAATGGTGCATGTGAGCTCCAGGATCCTAAAGGAAAAAATGGCGTATGAACCAATTGTTGATCACTGGCTACTATGGGACTGCATCTGCTTATGTTGCTCCACTGCCTTGTGGATTAAACCTTTAGATCAAAGGCTCACGGTGTTGTCCTTTAAGAAAACCACCTGCTTCGGTTTGTGAACCTGGATAGTATCCTAGCCCTCACACAAATCCAATCATTTATCTGACGCGTATCTATTTTATGCCTTCTTGTACCCATGTTTATGTGTTTAAATAAATAAATAATTTGATACATCATTTATATTACAGATAAGTTTTAGTGACCCGAGATCTGACTCTAGTTAAATCGTATGATTGATTGTTATTGTTATATCGGCTATCCTCGTATGTAATAATCGACTTAATCGGCATTAGCACAAGAATGGATTTAAAATTTGTATAGTTCATACACTCATTGATTTGAAAAGTTAATTAGGGAAATGAAACAAAGAAGGAAGAGTGAAGCGAAATGACACTCAGTGGAGAAGGCATGTGAGCCAACCTAATTTAATCAACCATGAATCGATATTTATAACCAAATAGAAATCAGTTACAGGCATTTGATAAATAAGATAAGAAATGCATACAAATACGCTTACATAAAAACAGTCATGGTTAATGAGCAAATAATTAACAAGGTCATAATGTAACTCAAAAAGAATGAATAGATTGGCTTGTTCAGAAACTAGAATAAGTTATATACGCTTAACAATGTAACTAATACTACACAGTCTAAATATGGTCCTACATTTGGTCACATATAGGATGTGAATCCATTTGGGAGAGGATTTACAATACAGTATAAAATAACTGCCTATCAATCACAAATTTACATAATGAAGTCACAATATAATGGTAATTGATTATTTTTCACTTTCTCTCTCTCTCTCTCTCTTTCTCTCTTTTTTTCAACATATTTATGATTATCCTGGAAACACTTTTCATACAATTAGGAACTTGTTCATAGATTTATTCTACATCATTATGAAAGTCATTTACATTATGATAAAAAAATTGATCCACGGAAACCACGTGATTCTTATCGAACAGATGCAGTTACTACATTATTATTTGCTGCTAGTAATAATGATTTATCAACTTTAAGAAGGTAAGATAATTAAGAATTATTTTTTTTTTAATTTGTTTTGTTTTTTTCTCAATAGAGGTACTATTGAAAATTAAAAGGTATTTGAACTCCTTAGTAGTGAGTATCCATGACTTGATGATGGAGATTGAATCTAGCACCTTCAGTACTCGAAAGGAATGATTCATCATTAAAACTATTAAGTCGACATTCAATTGTTTATTATTAATTTTATTAAGTTTACAATACAGCTCAATAATCCTTTAATGAAATTAGTGATAACTGTTTTACTTCTGACGTCTTGTAATTCTAGTTAGGACTTCAGGGATGTTAAGAAAATCCTACTTTCATACAGTTAGTTCCCTTTATGAATTTAAATAAAGCAAGAACAAATATTGATGCAGAATAGTATGAATTCATAATATTTCGAGGTTTCTCGTCAGCTGCTTACAACCTTTCTAATTCTATTCAATTATTACGTAACCTATCTAATCACTGTTCTATTACCTCTAAAATAATTATCACACAATGTATAAACTCCATTCAACATTACCCATCTTTAATTGTTTCCTTAATCCTAACACTAATTAACCTCTGACCTGTTCTAGCATATATATATATATATAGTTATTATTGTAAATCTTTGTCATTCTAATCATGTACATTCATTTATGCCAGTTGTTTTACACTATCTCAATGTAAAAAGTTTATCACATATTTGGTTGTAAGCAGCTGACGAGAAACCTCGAAATATTATGAATTCATACTATTCTGCATCAATATTTGTTCTTGCTTTATTTAAATCCTACTTTGTTCCGTCATACTAGATTTTCCTATGAAGGTTTACTTTATTTCTAAGAGAAAATAAAGACTGTTTTGATAAGTCACTTTCTCTTATAATTCCTATCCTCTTTTCTTATGTATAACGGTTTATCAAATTATGCTGTGTATCAACTTTTCACTAATGAATTTGGATGTAAGGTATTGCAATCAATTTTAACACTTCATATAATGATAACTTGAATGTTACATAACTTGATTAATATACATTGAAAGGTAAATAGTTTGTAATATAAATTCGGTGAAACTATAATTTATGAACGACCTTTGAGCGACGCTAAAGTGACCTTGAGAGTGTTCACTTAGTAACTAGGACCAAATGTGGGTTATAAAGCAGTTTGAACAATAAGGATTATCATTTATAGTTGATAGTAAGAGTTAGCAATTACATTAAGAGTTTTCATCATGAACAGACATCAACTATAATGCCAAGACTCTACTTAGCTAAATGGGTGACTGCCAAAATCCGTGACCTGTTAGCTTATACCTGATTGGTTCGTTCAGAAATTATAATCTCGCTATAAATGTTCTTGGACTTGGAATATATGTTTATTGGTTTTGACTGTTTAACTATTCAGAGTGTTAATGTATAATTAATCAAGTCAAATGTAGTGAAATCCAGTATTTTGTATTTGAATATGTCTCTAAAAATCATGTTGGAATAGTTCTAGAATTCTTATATGTTTCTGCAGTGAAAGTAATTTCAGTCTAGGTTTCAGGTCTCTGATTATATAGAAATATCTGTATTGTTTAAATTCACTTAGTGTTGTTTTACTTGAATCTTCCCACTGATGTTTAGGACTGAAATTGATCAGTCTCTTGTTGGCATATGTGCATACTATGCGGATCGACTCAATATTCCCTTAAGTCACAAGATTTTTAAGCAAGGATGGATAGCGGCTAGCAGCGGAATCCAGGATGCGCGTTTCATCCTTTTTGGGACTTGTCAGCTGGATTTATCTGCATCTCAGTGTTGATGTTCACTCCGTGGTAACGCGATGGCATTCTCCCACACAATAGGTTGTCACTGATAGTGTCTGGCCAACGAATCCGAAGCATTTTGCGTAGACAACTGTTAATAAACACTTGTATTTTCTGGATAATGGCTTTCGTAGTTCTCCAAGTTTAATCCGTCATAGGAATTCCGTATGATATTGACTGTTTACTCAGGCACGCCGTAGTGTTGAACAAACCTTCATAGGTAGATAGTGGTTGGAGATAGTCGACAGGAAACCCTGGACTCCGGGTTTTTATGCTACTTGGCACTTGTAAGCAAGGTGAAACTGTAATCTTGAGGAAACTGGTGCTCCCTGACGGATTCGATCCCGTGTCACCCAGCTTCACAGTTAGAGACATTACAACTGAGCTATCCTGTCGACTATCTCAAACCACCATCTAATCTCACAATAGTGCCTACATTGTCGAGTCACTTAGACTGGTGGCCACATTGCAACATGGTTGATAGCATTCGATCTGCACTAAAAAGTACTAGAGAAGCATGACATTGATCACCATCCAGTGATTAATCAATTGTGAAACCTTCATAGTGTTGTTCTGTCCTCGCTATCAAATGCTTTCTCATAATCATATTTATCTTTATATATCTCTAACTTATCTTGCTTCCATGATATCTCTCTATTTATTCTCTCATATATATATATGATGAACAAAAGAACCTATTACAATCATTTCTTGTTTCTTTAAATGACAATTAGGGGAAAAAAAAGAGAAAATCTATAAATCGATTTTATGGTAATTCAATCAATTTCTTAATAGTTTCAATTAATCATAAATTGTAAATAATCGTTATACAACACATAAGTATAATCGATTTCCAGAAAAAGAAAATAATTAATGAATTAAAACAAATTAAAAATAAAATCATTTCCGTTAATTCATGTAAATTTAAGCAAAAATGATTATCTTTGTTTCAGTGTAATTGACTATGATACAAAGAAAAAAAAACAAAACAAAATAACCAGTGGAGTTCAACTGGGTCTATTGTGAAATAATAACTCACATATGACAATGGTGGATGTATCGCTCAATTTCGTGGATTGATTGAAGTTAGACATTAACACCGTTGGATACTGGCCGACTCAGTGGTCTAGTGTTTAAGCGCTAGCTCGCTCGCTCTCGAGACCGATAGGTCCTGAGTTGAAATCTCCCATGGTGGGATTGTGAATACGCACTGCTGAGGAGTCCCTTACTAGGATGAAACGGCCGTCCAGTGCTTTCAGGTTTTTCATAGTGATCTAGCTTCTATTGACTCATGATCTCAACTATTAAAAAAAAAACAGATAACTTGTTTCAATATCTAGATAGCAGGAACAGATAGCCCAGATATAGAAGAAGATTATCGAATAGTTACTATATTATTTATTATTTCATAATCATTTGATTAGAAAATTAAAACATAAAAACACTTAATTGTTTCAATCAACTCGTCAGAAATGATTCATTTACATTTTCCTAATGACCTTATAAATAATTTAAAAAATTGATACACGAATAATCCTATTGTTATTCAAATAAATTTGTTTTACAAAGTAGAAAATACAGATATCAGGTTAACAGAACATTGACAATAGAATATTAACATTAAGTTCTTTTTTAAAATGTCTATTTGAAGGAAATTAAAATCAAGGTAACAGGAAGTTTTCTTTGTAAAACTTCAATATTATTAATCTTTAAGACAATATACATAGGATGTATATATGCGAATAAGACACTGATCAATTACAGTCGTAAACAAGAATGAGAAGATAGCAACATACAACATAAGGTGAATTTAAAAAATCATCCGATTGCACAATCAAGTGGTTATCAGGAGTCATTAGATAAGTGGATAAAGTGATGACGTTTAAAGTGAACGGTACTGGATTTGAATTTTGGAGTGAACATCAACTATATGGTACAGGTATATTTAGTTGAAGAAGCCCTATCAGGATGAAACGTGCGTCATGGATTCCACTGCTATTCACCATCCATCTCTGTTTATAATGCTTACGACTTAAGACAATATTGGGATAGTTCGCACAGGATATATATATATATATATATATATATATATTTTAATAAGAGACTGATCAATTACAGTTGTAAACAACAATGGGAAGATACAAGTAATACTGATTTTTGTTTTAATTCACGTATATGTTTATTCGATATTATGAATTATGTTACTTAACTTCTATTGTATATATATCCTTTGAGCTTATTATTGAACAATAAGGTAATGCCTAATGATTTATTATGTTAAATTATTTCTTGCACAAATGTATTATTTAGAATTGAAAAATGAATGTATCATTTTCAAATGATATAAAGAATATTCAATTTAATTTTAATAACATTATTCGGTGTTTACTGGAATAATAAATAAGTAGTATAGTAATATTAGGAGAATAATATACAACAGTCAATACTGGTTATATATATGATTATTAATTATCAGATGGGTTTTTTGTCGATATTGTCATAATTTCAATGGTTAAGATCATGAATCAGTTGAAGCTAGTTGAAATTAAACATTAACACTGTTGGATGCCGGCCGGCTCAGTGGTGTAGTGGTTAAGGACCAATAGGTCCTGGGTTCGAATCCAGCGATGCGGAGTCTTGGATGCGCACTGCTGAGGAGTCCCACAATAGGATGAAACGGCTGTCCAGCACTTCCAGGTTTTCCATGGTAGTCTAGCTTCAATTGACTTCAAGTATGTGATTTCATCCTAATTATTAATCAAAGTTTGTGTGCAATGAATATATAAACGAGTGTATTTTTGACTAGGGTCATCATCGTGTTTTGGCGTTAATACATATTCACTTATAACAGTCTTGGTGTTCTTACTTTCGCGTCTTGGGAATTGCGGAAGTCTATCGTTCCAAGTATAAGTGATAAGCGTTTCCGAAATAATAATCAGCGACGACCATACATAAAAAAAGTAGCATTCAATTGACAAGTTATAACAAATTGTTCATTCAAATATTCTTCATAAATCTTCTAGAATAATTAATTAACTATATGTCTTATTTAATACATAAAATGTTTTTCTTTTCTCTTTTAGAAGTTTTATTCATGGAGTAGATTTTAATTCAGTTGATTATGATGGACGTACTGGTTTACATGTAGCTGCTAGTTGTGGTTCATTAGATGCTGTAAAATTTTTTATTGAAGTTAGTGGTGTTAAACTTAATCCAATTGATCGTTGGGGACATACACCATTAACAGATGCTAAACAATTTGGTCATGAACAAATTGTTGAATATTTAGAAAAGTAAGATTATGTAATCATTTATAAATTACAAAAAAAAATTAAAAAAACTAACTTCTTAGTAAATATTCAATTTATTTAGATAAAGAAGATATTCTAGAATATGAACGTGATATTGCGTAACCATGGTAACAGTAACAGGAAAAAAAAAGAAAATTTGGAACTTTGAATGTTGTAAAAGTTCAGGTAGTCACTAATTGAATGCTTCATTATTAATAGAAGAAAATCATTTCAAATAGTTTAGCATGATAGTTCAATTTAGTAAAGGACATCATTTGCATGATGCTTGTTTTCTTTTAAATGGTAGTTGTTTTTTATAAACAAACTTTCTAAATTAGAACAGAATTACTATTTGTATATTGGAAGAATCTTTGATGTAGAATGGATTAATTTATGACTAGTTATAAAAGTGGAATAACTAATTAGACTTCTATATTGATCCGTTCCATTGAATACTGATGTCATCAATGTTAAATATCCATATATTCATTGAAACACAAGAAATGTTGAGAAAAACTTTGATATATATATGATATCAGAGTGTGAGATCGACTTTTTTTATTAAGATCATAAACTGATTGATGTTAGACTACCATTGAAAACCTAGAAGTAGTGAATGGCCATTTCGTCCTACTGTGGGACTCCTCATCAGTGCTCATTTACAATCCTGCTCGCGGGATTCGAACTCAGGACATATCGATCTCGCGCGCGAGCGCTTAACCTATAGACTATTGAACCGGCATCCAACGGTGTTAATGTCTAACTTCAACCAATTCGCGAAACTGAGCAACTATCTTCCATTGTACTGAGGTAGATAACTGTCTCTACCCAACACGGATTAGCTTCACTGATCTCCACTGTTTCTGTAATTTTAACGATTATTTAGGTAAAATATCTGTAAGTATCTATATTAAACGAAGTATTATGAAGTTTACCAACTTTTCAAAGTCATATACTCAGGAATATCTATCTTACAATTGAGTGATCTCTGAATAATGACAAATACCATGTTTGTTTAGTCTTTTAGTAATTATTCAGTTTTAACAACTAAGTAGTAATTGGTTTGAGTGACTAAACTTTGTATGTATTATGTATTGATGTTACATAATTGAAAGTTTTGAGTAGGAAGTCTTGAACCTTGATTTCATAATGCTTAGTTTACGTAAGCAAGTTAATCTTTGTTGGGGAGATCACGAAAACTCCTAGAAAAGAAAGTTTAAAAAAGGCTTTGAAAACACTGAAAAGCATCTTATCCAACCAGCATTCACTAAAAGTTTTGCCAGAAACATCCAGAAAGTGAATACTGATATGTTGAGTTTCTAGTTGGATGATTACTTATACTGCTACTATGCTTAGTTGCATTCCAAAATTATCCAAAGACTCAAAGTCATCTAAAATACTATAAAATCATTAGATTTTCTGTACATAAACGAACTTTTGGAGTAGTGTTTATCCCATAATTCCCATCTTTTCTCTCGTGTTCAAGTTGCTGTGTAAATCTAGTCTGAGGGTTACTAGAAGAGCATTGGAACCAAATCTAGCATTCATTTAGAAGACTTATCAATTTTATAACTCAACGATTTATAAATAACTCGATCATAGCGTTAGAAATTTTGCTTCAGGTGAACAGAACAACAAAATCATGTTTTCTTCTAATGGATAATTTACTTGTGTAGTAGGCAATACATTTAGTCTTTTTATAAAATACTACTTTATACTAATGTATGCCATTCAAATGTAAAGTTGTTTACTGATATGAAGAATAAATGGTCAAATAAATAAGATAAAAATCTAACTAACTAATCATTTAAATCTGGAAGCATTTGACGGCCGTTTCGTCCTAATATGAGACTCCTCAGCAGTGCGCATCCACTACCCCGCCCCGCGATTAATATCGAATCAACTTAACAAGTAAGTTCATATTATATGGTCTAAAGGTGGAGCGTTCGCTCGAGAAACTGATAAATCCTGTCTTCGAGTCTTGCGTGGAGGGATCATGGATGGGCATTGCTGAAGAGTCCCATATTGAGACGAAACGGTCGTTCAGTGCTTTCAGGTTTTCCATGGTGGTCTAGCTACAATGGACTTATGAATTCCACTATAACACTACTAAAATATCCACAAAAACCCCTTGTGACAATTATTTAAAGTAAATAATTTTTACTCACTATTAACATTAGTTGTTTTTGCATGAAATATTGATCAAATGTGCTTCGTTCACTAAGTAAATCCTTTATTATTATATATCGATTATCCCTTTTTCTTAATTGTGCAGATGCTTGCTTATATATACACGTTGTTTAAGAAAAAGTGTGACGTTTTGTTATGCTAATTTGATTTTCTATTGTAATTTATTGCATAGTTTTATAAATAAATCGTAAACTACTTATATTTAGTAAAGCTAGTAGTATCAATACAACTTAAATGTCATTTTATATCTCTAGCAAAGTGAAAACATATATTGATGAAATAGTTTATACCATAAAACAAATCCTGATTCAAAAAGAATAAATTAATAGTGAATTTACCAATGGTTTAACAAGTAATTGTAGAGTTTAAAATGATCTTCACACTTATTGAAAGATAGTTAATCATCATTAATGGTACTTGAAGATAATTGCAGTGTATCAGAAATAGATTGAATAGAAAAATGTAAACTAAAAGAATGCTTATTCAGTGATCTAACCATGTTTTAATCCCTGTGAAATTTGAAAGTGGCAGTACATTTGACTACTGGGTAGAGCCGTAATAATTAAAATATTTTTAAGTAGGATGAAACAGTTGTTTAATGCTTTCTACGGTTATTTTTGTCAGATTATTAAACGTTATGATGAAATCATATTTAAATCAACAAGTACAATATATAATTTTAAAAAGGTTATTGCATAATATGGCGAAACTACTTGGTACCTTGGATATAATATTAAATCGATATGGTTCGTAACCAAGCTATGAATTAATGAACTTGTTGAAATAAGCTGGTGGTTAGAGGTAGTCAACGGGGAATTCTAGACACAGGTTTCGTGCTATTTGACACTCGTCAGAAAAGTCAGTCGCGGATCGAATAGCTCAGTGGTAACGTATCTGACTGTGAAGCTGGTTGATACGGAGTCTAATCCGTCAGGGTGTACCAGTTCCTTCAAGATTACAGATACACCTTACTGACGAGTGCCAAGTAGCACAAAACCTTGGTCCAGGGATTCCTGTTGACTACCTCCAACATAATGCACGCAATGTCAAGTCACGTAGACTAGTGACCACATTACAAGTTGGTCGATAGCATTCGATCTGCACTAAGAAGGACCTGACATATATGACATTGATTATTTATTTATTTATTATTTTAAAACATAGAAATTGGTACAAGGAGGTACCAAATACATATGCGCCACACAGATATCAATTGATTTGTGTGAGGGCTGTGATACTGCCCGGGTGCCCAAACTGAAGCAGGTGGTTTTCTTAGGGGGCCACACCCCGAGCCTTCGACCTGAAGCATCGTAAGGAGATGCAGTCCCATGGTAGCCGGTGAACAACGATTGGTTCATACGCCATTTGTTCCTTCAGGATACTGGAGCCCATATGCACCATTGATTTGGGATCCGGTTAAAGCGCCGGGAAATTCGCTTTTCGTCCTCCCATTTTCGTAAACAACACCCCCGCCACGTGAAGGCAGTGAGTAGGACTTCTCTGGCAGAGGGTATATCCGCGTGACCATGTAAGAGTATTTCGAGAGAGAGAGCGGACTCTCCTCACTCTCGGGCGTACCAGGGCGTTTGGGGGCCCTGATTGATTACCACACAGTGATCAATGAATTGTGAATAACGAACTGCTGTATAAATTCAGACTTGAGGAAGTGATATTGCCAACTGCCATTTAGAATTATTTATAAACACTTTGGTTCGAATTTTAACTATGGCTTAGCTGGTCACTAGAATTTGACCATAGATAATGTATACCTCTTCTACATACTGCTTTACTGACGAGGAGTCAGAATAAAACATCGTTTTTAGTGGCGTTTCAACCTAAATATTTTACAGAAAAAGCATATGTAACAGGATTGCTGATAAACTTATCTAATAAAAGTTGGTTTATTCATTTTACTGTTATACACCCTTAGCGCACAAATCAGACATTCAAAAATCTTTTATTGCTGAAGTACTACTTAGAAATCAATTTGTAGCCATATAATAATAATAATAATAATAATAATAATAATAATAATAATAATCATGATAACATTATTTTGGAGGGTAGTTCCAAGGTTTGATCATTCTTTATTTACATTAGTTCGGAAAAGTATACACTAATAAACTGTTGCCATCAATCAGTAGAGGATGGAGTTATACATGAACTCGTCCTCTTACAAAAGATACCTTTTTCTTTAAAACATTCTCCTAAGTAGATCATATACTAACCTGTAGTATATTTTGTTATATAACAAATAAATAATTAATTTCTTTAATAAAGACTATCACTCATTTACTTTATGTAATACATTCCAAATGTGTATACTGAACCAATTTGATGAATGTATAAAGATTAATGATTGTCTGATATAAAGATTCTTCATGTAATAGATTGAATACTGTTCCAGGTTTTCCATGGGGATCTGGATTTAATTGACTAATGTATGGACTACCTCGATGTTGCCTGAAGTTATAAGCTTTATAAACAGAGGTTGACGGTAAATAGCAATGAAATACAGGACACGCGTTACTTTCTATTTGAAACTCGTCAGCTAGATGCCAATAATGAGAAGCACAAGCTAGTGTTTATCAGGACCCAGTAGATATGTAAATAATGCGATGGCATTTGAAGCAAGAGGTACTGGGTTGAAGTCCTTGAGTGAATATCAACTGTATGATGCAGATATATCCTGCTGATGAGTCTTATTTAGGACGAAACCTGCATCGTATATTCCACTGCTATCTACCATCTAACTTTTCTTGTAACAAAACTTTGTCTTAATGCAATTCACTCTGTAACAGAAAACAATATAGACTTAATGTAAGTGTCATAACTTGTGGCCTGTGTGCCCTGTTAATGTATAACGTGATGATACCACCAATTAAAGAAGAGTAATTTATCGATGGAACCAATGACACATAGAACAAGCATGAGGAGTCTAGAGTCTTTATTGGTCCTGCTTCCTGTTTAGACCTGCCTGTTAAGTCAAGAACACCAATCTCAACCTCTGTAATATGAATCATTTATTTCAATCATACTAGGTTTGTATACAAACTAAATAGATCACATCGTACCATAAAATAAAAAACAACATTCGTACAAGATTTAGCCAAATGTGACTGTGAATAAGGGGAATAGTAACTGATAGACTAGACATAACTGGATATAACAATAAATAAATAAAATTCTCTATTCTAATTTAAATAATAAAATTCAGTAACATGATGTTATTTTAGTAAAAATTTCAAAACCACTTTTATGAACAACCATATCATACAACTAGTGTATATAAGCTAAATTCAAAGCACCATTTATGATTAATAATCTATTTTTAATATCCAAATGAGTAGAAAATTAGATTTTCTGACGTTTCGTCACTTAGTGTAAGTCACTTCTTCAGAGAATAAATAACCAAATTAAAATTATTTCAAGTTTAAATAGTACAATGGAACAATACAAGAATAATATTTGATCAATCAAAAAACAGATATGAACAAGTTGATGTCATGTCATTTTTGTCAAGGTGATTCATAAGTGATATGTATGTATGTAAATTTGTGTATGTATGTATGTGTGCATTGTTTAAGAATGAAAAATTGTGTGACCATCATGGTAAGATGGGATAGAGTTTAAATTTGTAATATGATAGTGTGAATTTGTAAATATGATCAGACTGAGTGGCTAGGATAAATGGTCCAAGTAGGATGTATGGTAAGGCCTTCCTTTCTGTTGAGAGAAGTAGGATTAAGCATTTTATGGAACGCCTCAGCTACCCTACTTTCTTTGTAGTTGAATTAATTTTAATTTGGTTATTTATTCTCTGAAGAAATGACTTACACTAAGTGACGAAACATCAGAAAATCTAATTTTCTACTCATTTGGATATTACAAATATATATTAATTTATTTATAATCATCAACCTAGTGCTCAATTTATTCGAAATTATCAAATCAAGCCTTGGTAATGATACCTACCATTTATGATTATTCCAATAAAACAAAAAATTTTTTTTTGATTTTAAAATGAAAAAAATTTATCGATTTTTTTTCCTTTATTATTTTCTTTTATACCATTATTCTTTTTTATTATTATTATTTATATAGTAAGATTAAAACAAATCAATAATTCCAGAATAGTCTCTACATGGATACCAAATGTGTAACACAAGAAATATCATTATTGAATTAGATCATTTCTATTTGGTTTGTTTATTTATTTTTTATTTTTAAATTTATTTATCAAAATAATAAAAAGAAAAAGAAAATTAATAAAACATTATTTTTTTCCTTAAAATCAGTTTTTATTTGTTAATTTCTGTTTGTTATATACTACTATTATTACTACTACTAATGCTACTACTACTACTACTACTATTGCTAATACTATTACTACTACCATTACTATTACTACTACTGTAACGAACAGAACACGAATGGGGGACAATAGAATGTATTTGACACGAAAATACATGACTTCCTAATCAAATCTAACAATCATATAGTAAATACTTAATTTGCAAAATGTACATCAGTTGTCTGAAAATGACTCAGATTTCATTGTTCTTGCATTTTCATACAAATTGCATTCTATTTTCATTCTTTACTGTTCGATTCTCTTGTCTCTCTTCTGTCAGACATTCTGTTCACGACTAACATCATATACTACTTATGTCAATATAAGTAGCACACACCACACTACCATTACTACTACTGTTACTATTACTACTATCACTTACTACCGCTATTATTACTATTGTTGGTATTGTTATTATTATTATTACTACTACTAATGCTAGTACTATTATTATTATTATTACTACCATTACTAATCATTGTAGCAATATCATGATTATATTTCTTCTTATCTGATATTAGTATTTAATTCAAGTGACTAAAAGATCAATTCTATAATAGAATTTTACAGTATTGTATATTTAACTTTTGAAAATAATTTAAATGTGTATTTATTCTATTTCTAATAAGATTTTATGCATTTATATATCATAAATTAGATTTTCCCTACTTACTTACTTACGCCTGTTACCTTCAGTGGAGCATTTTGTCTGCCAACCAGCATTCTTCAACCTAGTCTATTCTGAGTTTTCCTTCTTTCTAGTTCTATTCAATTATTATCTATTCTTTCTTATGTCTATTTTATTCTTCTAAAAATAATTAAATGAGATAATAAAGAATGAATTGAGTTATATATATATATATATATATATATATATATATATATATATATATATATCCATCTATCTATCTATCTATCTATATATCTATATATATATATATATATATCTATATCTATATCTATATCTATATATATATATATATATATATATATATATATATATATTACACTATTCAAAATCTGTTGAGTTATTTATATGCTTTAACATAGAAACATTGAACATTGTATTAATTGTATACTTGAGTCAATTAGTCATATGTAGTGTAGAAAGTGACACATTAATACCTTGGTTCAAGTTCTTACACCTTATTATCAACATGTATCTCAGAAGAAAATGATGATAATATCAGTATTAGTAAACAAATATTAGCAATAGAAAGAAGAAATTTTAAATCTAAGAGAGGACAAATAATGAACGTATGTGTCATTGGGAACACTTTTAAACGATGTTATTCGAAATCTCCAACTGCTGGTTACGGTAATCATATGGATCATAATAAAGTTTATCTGGGAATATAGTGCCGCCTATAACCAGTTTATTGAAAACGCATAGGTTTGCAAATCTCTCACCATTTTCGTTCCTTTCTTCTAGTTCGTGTTGGCCCATGATGTCTTCGTATCCGGTGTTGTCTACTCCAACCTTGGCATTTAAATCTCTCATCAGAATGGTCACGTCCTTTGTTGGGCACTTCTCCACGATTGACTGCAGCCCATAGTAGAATTGGTTTTTAACATCTTCATTGTAGCCGTTGCTAGGTGCATAACTTTGGATGACGTTCATTGAAATACTCTTTCTTTGTTTTGAAGGGGGCTTTGATGATCCTTGGTTCATGAGATTTCCATCCTATAAGTGCATTTTGTGCTTGTTTGGACAGCATCAATGCAACTCCTTGTGTGAAGCATTTTCTTCCTCATGGCCAGAGTATAACAGAAGTTCCCCTGAAGCTAGTCCTTGTTGTCCAACTTGCGTCCAATGTGTTTCACTGATCCGAAGCACCTCTTAATTGTATCTCCTCAATTCTGCAGCAATTCGGAAGACTTGTAACAGCTTAGGTCGATTGGTTAAGAGTTGATCTCAAGCAACTAAGCACATGTCTAAACAGCATAGTTCAGATATTTATACACTTCTTTATTCTGTATAGGCGTTATATTCCTAATTATCTTATATTGTATGTTGAGAGGCTTGGTTTGTCTGAGTAAGGAATCGCACGCTCCACTGTGACTGCGCGAAGATCAAAATAAAGACCTATTTTCCGACTAGTCTGGTTTCTTCTATTAATGACACGAGGGTTACCTATAGGCATGAAACTGGTAATCCCTTTGAAACACGAATTTGATTTCATTTTTGATTAATAAATTTATTATTTTTATTTTACTTAGTCGTAAAAGTAGACCTGATTATCCGTAAATAAAGTCTGGTATATATATTTATCCATAGCTTTTTTATTATCTTAAGGTATTCGTGCTGTAGTAGCCATTTTTCGTATTAAGTTTATTACTATATTGTTCATATACTTCATTTCAGACTCAATACAAACCCAAAACCTGGAGGATTTGTCATCAGTGGAGATAGACACTGTTATGACTACGAAATCTCGACTTCCAGAATTTGATCGTAGTGATCCTGTGTTGTGGTTTGCTCAACTAGAGCATTATTTCACGAGACACAATATCAAATCTGAAGGAATTCGCTATAGAGACTTGTGTTCTATCCTTCTTCCTTCAGTCAACAAAGAAGTCCGTGACTTGATTTTAAACCCACTATCACTACAACCCTACATCATTTTAAGACGAGAGATCATGAACCATTTATCATTATCAGACAGTCAAAGAATCCAAAGGCCTATCAAGGGAGGAACATTAGGTGATAGGTCGTCGTCACAGTTTTTACGTCACCTTCAAGTCTTAGTGGGTGATAACACAGTGGGTGAAGCAGTCCTAAAGCATGGATGGATACAAGCTCTCCCATGCTACGTCCAACACTGTTTGGATGCACGAAATTCTGAAACTTCCTTATCTCATTTAGCGCGTATAGCCGATAGGATAATAGAAATGGGTCCTCCAACTGGATCACACACGATAAACCACACACAAAAGGAAGAACCAGCAGAAGATCCAGTCATAGAAGGACTCATTGCGAGTGTTAAAAGCCTCGCTGAGGCTATCGCCGGAATGAAAAATGTTCGTAGAAACAGGAACAGGTCACCACAACAACCAAGACCCAAGTCACAAAACAGGTTACAAATGTCCAGACAATCTGGGCAGTTCTGTTGGTATCACTGGAAGTTTGGTGTCAACTCAACCAAGTGCATGCAACCATGCGCCTGGCCCAAACAAAATCCCAGGAATGCGGGAAACGGGCAACCCTTGCCGAGGTCGCGACGACTGAGGAGGGGCGCTTAAACAGTCGCTTGTTTTATGTTAGAGACAGAAACTCAGGCTTGGACTTCTTGGTAGGTATTGGCGCTGCTCTTAGTATCATCCCTCAAAACAAAGCTGAGCTGGGGCGCAAAACATCCCCAGTTACACTTCAAGCTGCCAATAAAACTAAAATTGCGACGTTTGGACAGAAAACTTTAACACTAGATTTTGGATTCAGAAGGCCATTCCCCTGGGTTTTCACCGTAGCCGATTTAGATCTGACAATACTGGGGATGGACTTTCTAGAGAGATACGAGTTTCTCGTTGACACTAAGAAACGACGCTAAACACTGAAAGAAACTTCGAATTACAATGGGCATCCCTTATGCATATGGTCCCAAAGAAAAATGAAGGCGATTGGCGACCCTTGCGGGGATTACAGAACCCTCAACTGACAAACCGTACCAGATAGGTACCCGATACCGCATATCCAAGATTTCATAAACGGTTTACATGGCATGAACGTATTTACCAAAACTGACTTGGTCAGGGCATATCACAATATCCCGGTGGCTGATGAAGATATCCTCAGGACAGCTATTGCTGCAACTTTTGGTTAATTCGAGTTTGTACGCATGCCATTTGGCCTGAGAAATGTGGCACAAACATTTCAAAGATTCATGGATAACCTACCTCAAGATATGCCATTTGCACAGGGGTATATTGACGATTTGTTAATTGCCAGCCCCGATTTACAATCACACGAACAACATGTGCGAGCAGTGTTAAAAAGACTGGATGAAAATGGAATGAACATACATCAAAGTAAGTGTGTTTTCGGTGTTCGAACTCTAGAATTTCTTGGGCACACAATAAGCCCGGAATGGATTACAACTATCAAAGCAGAAGTGGACATCATCAAGCAATACCCCATACCTAGTTCTCTCTCAGTCTCCCACATTGTACTAGCATTCCATGTACCTAAATAAATGGTTGCTTTGGTTGTCAGAAGGGGCGTCGGCCTCGTGACTTCCGAAGGAACTCGGCTTTCGACATGAGGCATCACAACTCTTCTAAATGAAAACCATCTGACTCCCTGAAAAGATTTTAAATGGTTTAAATAATTTTTTCTGGTTAGCGTTTTTTAGCGAGTTAGTTTTCTACGTGATGAGGTCGCTAACCCCATTCCTAATCCTCCTCCTTAATCCGGGCTTGGGACCGGCAGTAGCTCACGGAGGGACTCGAGGCGGAGTTATCATTAGGTAGTTTGTATTTATGCATAGAACTAGAATGAAGTTGATTTATTAATAAATATATTTCTTTGTAGAACAATTGTATTCCTGACGTTTCGTGGCCTAATGTAAACTACATGTTTATAGTGAATCTCAATTATTTATTTACTCTGATGAAGTGACTTACACTGAATCACGAAACGTAAGAAATAATATTTTTCCTTCTCATTAGGATATAACAGAGAAGTATGATTATTATTAACACTCTACTCAATGCTCAATTTATTTGAAACTATCATGTCTAACCCTTATATTAATACTTATGAAGTTGATCTGTTAGATGCAACTCTGATTTGTTATACGGCGGAAATTCTCTGACAAACTGACAAAACGGGAAACTTTTATTTCCGTGAATAAGCTTCTATTCTCAACAAAAATGTCAGTTTTCAATACATTAATGTCTTATGACAAGTAGTAGTACGTTATAAATTTGTAAAACGTTGTCTCCACATATTTTGGTATCGTGCAGACATTTAAGATGATAAGGTCTATATACATATAGACCTAGAGTGTTGAATAGTGCAGTGTTTAGTTCAGAATATTACTAAATCTGGAATCGAGTGGACTGAATTTGAACGTAAAATGTCATCAAATAGGTCATAGCCGTTTTGAGGTTGTATACATCATACCAGATCCGTGTTGTTCTTTATGCATCACAAAATCGTTAGTTCAATGTAGCTTAAAGTCAAATTTATGACACGGGTAAGCGAACTAAAGCTCTCAATTATATATATTTATTGTGTGACTGATTATATTGTTTTCCAAGTAACCTACATTGTAAAAAGGACATGGGTGGTGCCATTTACTCTTTAGTTATAACGTAATGTTAGATGGTGACTAAAAGTGGAATCCAGTGGGTCACTTTATCGAACTCATAACTATTTGGATTAAAACAAACTGACAAAAGTGTTTGGGGTTCAAACTGATGAGAAGATCAACCTCGTCACATCCCGAGTTTCTAGAATTTTTGGATTTAGAGTTACCTTTTAGAACATGTATTACTTAGGGTTCGCCAAAAATTATCAACGCTTTCAATCCATCATTTCGAAACTCAGAATTCACATTAAACCAAACTGTAAAATTCTAATTTGCATTCGCATGTAGAAGTATGTGTAAAAGTTAAGAGGATTTTATTTAAATATGGTTCAAGGAAGGGCTTCCGATTACATCTAAGTACCCTAGAAGCATTTCCTCGTAGCTGTTCTTCTATATATATTTATCACGTAACTTCAGCAGTCTGGTCAATTGTTATCATGAAATTGTTCTAGAACCACGTTATAGTCTATGGGAAATTGTTGAAGTCGCTGTTTTGAGAATTCCTTCAGCTTTGAAATTAAGAGAATGAAAGCCAATACTAATATGAAATGTTCACACCACT